GGGTTTAGGGTTAGAGTGGGGTTAAATTTACTATTGGGGTGTTTTGTTTTTAAGTTAAACCTAGGATTAAAGGTAGAAGGTTGTTTTTTTTCAGATTTAGGCTTTGAATGCTTAGATTTGTAACTAAGGAAAGATTCTGTTTAGATTTTGTGAGGGGTTCATTTTAGGCTTAGGGAACAAATGAGTGTATAGCATGTGAAGTTTGAAGGGTTATCTGCAAAGTACTCACCCTCCTATGGCAGATAATAGAGCATATTACCCAGTGCTCTCCCTGCTGTCCTGCTCCTCCTGCAAGGCATTTCCTGTGTGAGAGGATACTAGTGGGCAGATAGGAAGTGATCTTTCCCACTTCCTGTCCAGCATCAAACATGGACACTGGAGGAGCTGGGACAGCACTGAGCTTTACACCCTCTATAACTGCAGCTCTGCTAACATGCATGGGAGGCTAAATAAATTACAGAGGATCTTGATACTTATCTCTCCAAAAAGACACATTATAAGTGCTCATAACAGGTACCCACTACAGGACTGGTACCTAAAGTCTGGTGCCTACTCTGCCTCATGGGAAATCCTGACCTCCCAAAGTAGACTTTGCTGCTGGGTGTCAGAGATGCCGCGAGGTACAGGGGATGGTGAGTTATACTTACCTGACCCTGTCCCTCACAGCTGCCACCATTCTTTTCCTGCCAGTCCTCTTCAGAAGCCAGGAGACCACGTAAGACGGCTGTATTCTCCATAGAAAGAGCCTTTTGCCCCTCAGCCGTCACTAGGGGGTGAACAAAAGGTGCCTCCGCCTTTTTGTCAAGCATAGTAAAAATAGTCCCTACTTTGTCTCGGAATATTTTTTGACTATGTCGGAATTTTAGTGAGATTCCAACACACTCAGTGTAAGTATTTCATAACGATTTTATGAAATACTCATTTTGGAACGGGTGACAGTGATGCTTTAATAATGGAGTGGGTGGATGTCACTATTAATCTTCACATCACCATTTGCTTCAATGTATTTATATTTCTTAAAGGAGCACTATAGTGTCAGGAATACAAACGTATATTCCTGACTCTATAGTGTTAAAAACACTATTTAGGTGGCGGCCCCCCTGGATTGGCTGAGATCAATTCTTATGATCTCAGTGGAGGGGTAAGCGAAATGCTGCCCTGACCAATCAGCAACTCCTCATAGAGATGTATTGAACAGTGACGACCACTGAGGTGTTCCTAGGTAGTAATGAACATTGGCTTTTCTCTGGAAAGGCTGTGGTTATACTAAAAAGCTTGCAGGGACATACTATACACACCAGAGCCACTACACTAAGCTGTAGTTGTTCTGGTGACTATAGTGTCCCTTTAACAATTTGCTATCTGTACTTCACTCTGATTGGCCGGAATGACAACTATTAGTGTTGATTCAAAGGCAAATGTTTCTGCAATTGTTTGGCAGTGATAAAGAGAACAACTGCTTGATGACTTGTAGTTGGTAATACTGTCAGGGTTTTTCACTAAATCATGTTTGCTAGTCCACCCATCGTAAAGCACTGCAGAATTTGTTGGCGCTCTATAAACAATAATAATAATAATAATAATGTGAGAACTTCTGGGATTTCAAAATCAATTTAAAAATTCCTGTGCGGCCTCCACTCATTCAGTGTGCACCAGAACTCAATTAGCAGAGACTTGTGCAGAATCTGTATCAACCTGTCCAATACAGGACATCAATAACAGACTGAGTGTGGGCTTTAGATGCTGCATAAGCCCAGCTTTTATCAAGCTGCGCAGCACCATAACCACTACTTTAAGCTTTAGAAGTTGTAACGGTTAGAGCGGGCTTCCCCAGACTCCGCCCCCCCCAGATGTTGCTGAATTACAACTTCCATGATTCTATGAATGTAATAGGCTGAGAATCATGGGAGTTGTAGTTCAGCAACATCTGGAGGGCCGGGGTTTGGGGAAGTCTGGGTTAGAGCAACAATTTAAGCGATCCCACTAGATCAGTGGTTTCCAACCCAGTCCTCAAGTACCACCTAACAGTCCAGGATTTAGGGATTACCCTGTTGCGTCTAAGGTGTTTTTAGGGAAAAAAACAAAAAACTGTAGACAAAACAGGGTAATCCCTAAATCTTGAAATGGTGTACTTGTGGACTGGGCTGGGAACCCCTGCACTCGATGAATGCTACATATTAAAAGACCGCGATTTTTATGCATTGCTAATCAGCATTAAAAAGAACTATTTGCCCAGGAAAACCTGGATCTGAAGATGGATCGGACAAGCGATATCTCTACTACATGTTCAATGTCAAAATATGTTACTTTGCCAAAGGCGCCCCCGTTGGTCATAGTGGGAACTTCAGATTAAAAGAATAAATTAAAGAGGTTTGTTTTTTTAAGCTGTAAAGGTCATAAAACAAGAAAATATGGTTTATTCACTAAACATTGAACTGTATAAGATTGAAAAGCAAAGTGACTATTCCACTATAAGAGCAGCCATCAGGTTTTTTTGGCTATACTCCTGTGATATGGGATGAGCAAGATTACAATAAGTTTTTTTTTTTGGGGGGGGGGTTTCTGTAACAGTTGCCATCATCTTCTTGCTGTCCTCTTCATCTCCTGGTTCTTCATTTGCCAGGAGACACATCGCGCGTGCACGAGAGTATACAACACTGAGGTCACTTGCAACAGCTTCTGTGATTGAACACAAGTTGACATCGGAGCTCTGCCTTTTGTCAACCTCAGATATTAGTTCCTACTTTACTTTATGGTATCTTTAGTTTGCATTAGAATTTTTGTTTTATGGGATATCTATGGTATATCTAATTGAGCGTGCATGCCTCCTTCAACACACACCTCAGACCAGACATGTGCAAGTGCACAAGCTGACGCGCACAAACAAAACCTCAGATCAGCTCACCCCACTACTCCAGACCAGACATGTGTGCATGAGCTGGCATGCGCGCACACAAAATGGTGCAAATTCAGAGGCTTCCAAATGAGCAGCCTCTGATTCGTTATTTCCCTGTGGGGAAAATGGGGAGAGCTTGCTCTTTTAACCCCTTAAGGACACATTACATGTGTGACATGTCATGATTCCCTTTTATTCCAGAAGTTTGGTCCTTAGGGGTTAAAATATACCCCAATTAATGCATGCATGTATTTCTTGGGGGTATATCTACTAAACAGTGATTTGTTTATTTTTTTAGTCCATTTGGGCAGTGGAGTGTCCCTTTAAATTTGGAATTCACTTTCAGGGTTATTCCAGTTTAAGTTTTAAGGCCAGAGTAGCTGAATGGTAAGTATATCTGACTGACAGAATATTTCCGATTTGGCTATATTGACCTTAAATTTGAAATTCACATTGAATTCTCACTCTGCATCAGTTTACAACAATTCTCACTTTAGTTTAATAACCCCTGAATAAATTATATGGCTTCCTTTTGACAGATCTGGCAATCTCTACCTCCACCTTGTGGTTATCATTAAAAATGATATCAAGCATGTCTCATGGTTTTTTTTTTTTTTTTTACTAAGCGCCAAATTATAACAAATCTAAATCAGAATTATTAATATTATTGGCATATATATAGCACCAACATACTCTGCACTGCTTTACAATATTATAAAGGGGGGATATTTAACAATAAATTACAAAATGTAACAGGAACACCAGGTTAAAGAGGACACTGCTGTAAGAGCTTACAATCTAGAGGAGCAAAATCTGGACTAAAACAGCCAGCCTGTGACTATTGCTGAGTTGGAGAATATGGGCTGGCTATCTCTAAATATACCAACAATAAAAAATAAATTAAAGGGAATCTATAGTACTAGGAGTACAAATCTGTATTCCCAACACTATAGTGCCCTCTGCCCCCCTCTTGCATATAAAGGGTTAAAAATCCTTTATTAATCACCAGATTCCAGGGCTGATGTCCCTCGGCGCTCCACCTTCTCTAAAGCCATTTGATGGGGGGAGCACATTAGCCCCCCCACATAGGAAAGCATTACCTCATTGCTTTTCTACGGGTTTTAACTAACACTGGATGTTCTCGTGCAGAGCGTGAGGATGTCCTGCGTGTTTAAGGGACTCAGAGTCCATTAGAATACTGGATGCACCTCTAGTGGCTGTCTTAGTCCTGCAAGTTACTTATTAAATAATGTTTTACATTGCAGGACTAAGTGGGACCGGGACACTGCACCCAAACCACTTTAATGAGATAAAGTGGTTTGTGTGCCCATAGTGTCCCTTTAAATGCAATTATGTTTTCATTGGGGGTACATCTACTAAACAGTTGTGTTTTTGCAGTGGCGTTTGCCTTTATGATAGTAGGATACTATGCACAGATAGCCGCTATTAACTGTCTGACAAAACCAGTTGGGAGCTGGGCACAAACTCACAAAAATATACTAGCTTAAAAAATAATAATAATAATAGGCATTACAAGAGGGACAGAGATCTGGGTACCAGAAATACTTCCTACCTAAATTTGACAATTGACAATTTTGTATTTCGTTTTAATTCATTTAATTATAAAAAACAATATTCCTGAAAAAGAGCATCACTTCTTTCTATAGTAAGAGATAAGCCAGTCTAGTAAAAAGGGCAGACCTTGTAAGCCTAATTACGAATAATAACTGTACATCTGGTTACACACTGACTAAACAACTTACATTTGATTTTCAAATAATGTCACTACAGCAAGCTGTCAAAACCACATTTCCATGTTTGCAGCTGGAAAAAAAAATGAGGTGTACAAAGATGGCGGCGTGTCTCCAACAAAATGGAGGTGGACAGCAAACAACAGCCTGGCGCTCCCCAGCAAACAAGAAATATATTGTTAATAATATATTGAGATAAAATGTAAAAATGCCTGACAGAAAACTATGCGTTCAACTGAAAATTAAGTGATATTTAAAAAAAAAAAAAAAAAAAAGTTTAGTGGGTGAACCAAGATGGCGGCAATAGCCTCACTACGGGCGGAAGTTGCCCTATTTTTTTGCCAGAGTTCAATGCAATAGAGCCTTAAACTTACTGATTCAAATTTTGGAAAGTGGAACTTTCTCGGTGAGTGGATGCATTAAACTAAATGTGATGAATATTCAGTTTCTGTAAGGACACATTTTGCGTTCCTGTAAGAAAAGTTCTGAAATATTCCAGACGTCTCGCGTTTACTTTTGCGTTTAGATCTTTACAGGAAGTATGGGCCGCTGGAGCTTCCAAGATGGCCGCCGTGGGCAGGATTGTATCGTGAGCAAGAGTTCTTTTGGAATATTCTGTTGTGAATAAGAATTTTAAGAATCCCAGGAGGTTAGTTTGGCTCTAAAACCAGGTAAATATAAATATGCACCTTGTTTGTTGGTGTATTGTGAGCTGCAACTCCACATTCTGGTAATTCTGTATAAACCCCCCATTTAAAATCTGAATTGCAGAATGTGGGATGAAATAAAATAGCCCTGGCTGTGTGGATATATTACTGAGACTCAGATATTTTAACCTGCATTTTGCCATTTGAATGTAAATTCTCTACAATTCAGATTTTAGTGAAGAAATCCCAATGTGAGTGTGGCTCATTCATTCCTGGTTCCATACTGCTGGAAGAATTCACCGAAACCTGCCACCGTGGAGATCTGTGTAGCTGGGGGACGTCGAAATAACTAACCTGGGAAAATGCCTGATTTGGGGCATAACGCAGAACTTGGCTTTACTTTAAGAGCTTTTCTGGAAAGCTCCCACCCTACCTGAGCAGAATGCTCTCCCTGGCTGTTCCCACCTCCTATAACCTCCAATCCAGTACCAGCACTTTATTTAGTCTACCTCAATACAAAAAGAAAGCGTCTCGATCCTCTTTTTCCTACAGAACACTGCAATTATGGAACGACCTCCCGCACACTTTCAAATCTTCCCCAACCCTAAAATCCTTTAAGAAATCCCTCTCTACATATCTCAAAACAGAATGCACCTGACATGGTTGATTATATATTTCTTACCTGTTCTATGTTACATTTTGTATATATTGTGTATTAATATTGTTTTTGTATTTTATTGTTCCCTATTGTATCAATGCAATGTTTTGTGGACCCAGGACATACTTGAAAACGAGATAAATCTCAATGTATCCATCCTGGTAAAATATTTTATAAATAATTGTCTATTCCGCTGGGCACATCTGATCAGGTACCCCTAGATATGCAGGGCTTTGAATGACCACTCTCATGATACTCATTAAACTGGCAATTTCAGCAGTACTTTTAGCAAATGAGCACTTTCCTGTACTGCACCTGCCTGTCTTATTGTAGACACCTGGCAAGCCATGTGAGTTGTCAAACCTTTCTAAACAGTTTGATTACTCTTTGAGGGTTCCATGTTATTCTGGATATGAACATAAGATCTTGGAAATGCCCCTAGAATGTGAAACCAGACACCATTTCATTTTCATATTTTAATTTTTGCAAGAAACGTAACAAAGATTATAAATATCAGCCTTAATAAACACAATTGTGTGTGTGTGTTTATATATTAAAGGGACACTATAGTCACCCAGACCACTTCAGCTCAATGAAGTGGTCTGAGTGCCAGGTCCCTCAGGTTTTAACCCTTCAGATGCAAACATAGCAGTTTCAGAGAAACTGCTATGTTTACATTTGGGGTTAATCCACCCTCTAGTGGCTGTCTTCTGGACAGCCACTAGAGGCGCATCTGCGACGCTGGAGGCAGATTTCGCCTCCATCACGCAGAGCATCCATAGGAAAGCATTGAGAAATGCTTTCCTATGGACACTTTGAATACGCGTGCAGCACTTGCCGCGCAATGCGGCTCCACTGACGTCGGGTGGGGAGGAGAGGTCACCAGTGCCGAGGGAGCCCGGCGCTGGATTAAGGTAAGCTGCTGAAGGGGCACCCTCAGGGCACTATAGTGTCAGGAAAACCGCTTTGTTTTCCTGACACTATACTGATCCTTTAATAAAAAAATTATATATTTTAGAAAATCTGTTCTGACCAACCACAAATTCTTCTCGTAACATTATCTTCCGCAGGTATATTGGTATATGAGTACACTATGCTGTTACATTGTTTTGTATGTCTACATGTTGGTTATTTAATTGGATAAACAATCTATGACATTGTATTGCAGCAATGGCGGTTAGTATGGCCTCACAGTTCTTCTCCGAAGAAGATGAAAAGATCACTACAGACATGTCTACATCTGAAAGGGTAAGAAGGCAGATGGTGTAGGACTGAGCCAATGATCTTTTGGTTAATTGTTTTGCCCTGTGGGATGCCAGTGTTGATGCAGCTATGTATAGTAACACGAAAATAGGCCTGTGTTACATCCATGTATCTTTCCTCTTTACTAATGTTTCAATATATAATAACTGATATGATTTAATAATGCCAGTGAGGTCCAAACATGTGCAGATTTGTTGGTTTTCTTTTTTGTTTTGTTTTTTAGCTGTGGGTTGTTACATTTCAGACATCGTTTTTTTGTGCTATTTTAATGCTAAAGAATGTGGCTTATGTCAGGCAACATGTCCATTTTATTAGGGATCGACCGATTATCGGTTTTACCAATATAATCGGCCGATATTCAGTATTTTCTGCAATATCGTTATCTGCCAATTCAGGTACCGATATTGCCGATAATACCTCCTAGGACCGCCAGGCTCATTATAAGCCCAGCAGTCCTGGGGGAGCGGGCAGCAAGCGCTTACTCACCTCCCGACAGCTCCTCCAGCTCCCCAGTATAACTCTCGCTAGACCCGCGGCCGTCAGAGCGTTGCCATGGGTTACCATGGCAACGCGACACGCTGGCCGCAAGACTTACACTGGGAGTTGGAGGAGCTGCCGGGAGGTGAGTAAGCGCTTGCCCCCCCCCACCCACAGCTCAGCCAATGCCACTGGACCACCAGGGATTGCTATATCCCCCCTCCTTGGCCAAGTATGAAACAGGGTGGGGGGACAACAAAAATAAATAATAATTTAATAAAAGACGCCCCCTCACACACACTCCATTATATACACTACAAAAACACTGTATATAATGCAGTGTGTGTTTGTGTAATGCAGTGTGTGTGTGTGTTTGTTTGTGTATATAATGCGCGCACACACACACACACACTGCATTATATACACACACACTATACAAACACACACTCTGCATTATATAAATACACTACATTCATTACACACACACTACACAAATACACACACACTCTGCATTCATTATATACACACACTACACAAACACACACACCTTGCATTTAGTATATACAGCATTCACTTTACGCACACTACACACACACTACACAAACACTCTGCTTTCATTACATACACACTACACTAATACACACTGCATCCACTACACACACTAGACAAATACACACTGCATCCACTACACAAACACACATTGCATCCACAACACACACCCTACACAAACACACACTGCATCCACTACACACACATTACACAAACACACACTGCATCCACTACACACACACACACACATTACACAAACACACACTGCATCCACTACACACACACACATTACACAAACACACACTGCATCCACTACACTTGGCATGTATATTTTGTGCATTTACCTTTAGAAATAGTTTTTATTTTCCAAAATGGTAAATGTACAGAATATCGGCTATCTGCCTGAAAGTTCACAGAATATCATTATCTGTATCGGCTCTAAAAAAATCAATATCGGTCGATCCCTACATTTTATTATAACAATTACTTCCAATATTGGCAATGTTTATCATATAGTATTGACAGATTGACACGTGTTTTGGGTATTCGGTATAAACACAAGTGCAGTTATTGAAACTTAGATGTTATCCCACAGCATTAACACTTGTGGAATTAGTTTGTCATTTGCATTTTTTTTTTTCCATTCTGAAATTTTTGCTAAATTTAAATCTTCCCTTGTAAAAACTATTTTGCTTCATTTCTGCTCTGCAGAGTGAATTATTCAGAGGTTGAAGGGATTGGAATCATTATTTTCACTCATATTTTGTTCTAGGTTGTGGATTTGTTAAATACAGCTGCACTAGCTTCCAATGAAAATAAAATCACCATGCTTAAACAGGTGAGTCTGGAACTAATCTGTTTTGATCACAAAGGTTGTAGAACTGTTATAAATTTTACAGAAATATAGCACACATTTATTGCAGAATTCCAATGTTTCTGTGTGAATGTTTCAGGTTCAAGAATTGATTATTAACAAGGATCCCACTCTGTTGGATAACTTTCTTGATGTAAGTACCAGAGGCTGGTAATTTAGAACATATAGAAACTAGTCCTAGTCTATGAAATAATGAATTTCCCTTTTCCTCTTTTTAGGAAATAATTGCCTTTCAGGCTGACAAATCTGTAGAAGTTCGGAAATTTGTTTTGAATTTCATAGAAGAAGCCTGGTGAGTTCCATAATGTCCTCCTAATATCATTGAAAGGGTCACTACAAGCTGAAATTAACCAGTCTCCCCGAATGTTCTATAATCTGAAATAGCTCTACCTATGTATGAAATAATAAATTTTTAAAAATATATCCACAAGCAAACATCAACATTGAAGCACCAATCCTGGTCTGTGGGTTCTTATCCAATAAACATCTGCTGGACAAAAGTTTATGTGATATGTTATTCAGTCCCAACAACAGTTCCATTCATCAGAACAGAGTAATGTCACTTTTGAATAAGTCAAACCACAGCTAATGTGAGCCTTTTGATTTGCTCCTTTCAGGTTTGTAAATAAAGTTGTACACTATGTGCCAACTGCCCATACATACATACATACATACATACATGCATGCAGTCATGGTTTGAGTATTCTCAAACTTCCAATTAATACAGCAGAGGAGGGAATGTATATTTCTCATCTGTCGTCTGGGGTAAATGAAACGTTCTTATAGCTTCAGCTGTTTTTTTTTAAATTGCTGTAGTTAGAAGCAACTGTTTGCAAGAATACATGGAACCAGCTAGTACTATAACTTGGCATGCATCATTTTGGTGATTAGAGTAGCTTTTAGCTTTTAAATTGAACTTTCTAATTAAAAACTAGATATTCGGGGGGGCGTGGCTACCGGCGGAGCAAGATGGACGTGTAATCTTTAGCTCCTGCACATGGGCTCCGACAAAGGCGTCTCAAAACCCGCAATAGACGACCCTGACAAGCAAACAACCAACATGTCACAACCCAAGCAGAAACGGCAAGCCTCCAAAACCGAAAGACAAAATTTTTTTGGTCAAAACGCCGCGCAAAACAAATACACAAACCAGCAGCACCAACAAGATGGCGGGGAGGAAACACACGACAGCAACCTCCTTACAGACCCTGCCGACCAGACTATGGAGGAGCCGGTCACCAAGCAATTTCTTTTGGAACAGCTGGGAGCGTTCTCCAGCAAAATGATGGCTGGCTGGGAAAAAGGCCTATCAAGCCTGAAGAAAGACATAGGGGAGCTGGGAGCGAGAACCTCCCGCGTGGAGGAGAAAATGGAGGAAACACAAGAGGCACACAACCACCTAATAGACCAGGTGAATGCACTACAAGACACAGTATCCGCAATGGAGAACAAGCTCATGGATATTGAAGATAGGGCGAGGAGAAATAATCTACGACTGCGGGGCATACCAGAAACGGTGGCCCCTGCGGACCTCCAGGCCTACGTGCATGAATTTTTCCATGTGCTCTCGCCAGACACACCATCAGACATGCTCCTTTTGGATAGAGTACACAGAATACCCAAACCTCCACACCTACCACCCTCAGTCCCAAGGGATGTCATCCTGTGCGCTCACTACCATCATATTAAAGAAATAATCTTAAAACAGAGCAGAACAAACAAGAACGCACCTAGCAAATACGCTGATATCAAGATATTCCCGGACCTATCTGCGGCAACGCTGAGAAGGAGGAAAGCCTTCCAACCCATTACTATCATCCTCAGGCAGCACCAAATAGCTTACCGGTGGGGTTACCCCCTCAAGCTTCTCATCTCCAAAGATGGCACGACGAAGATACTGACCTCGCCAGAAGATGGTGAAAAGCTCCTCAAGGAATGGAACCTACCCACACCAAGCAAGCCGAACAGAGAATCTGCCATGCTGCATCGCGAATGGCGCAAAATATAGTATCAATGGACTTATACCAGCCATTCTGGACTGCTAATAAGATATAACGAGTAGAGGCTGGTAATGTATATAAGGAACCAACTGTTTATGTTTGCTTATGTTAATTATGTTAATTTTGTTAACTTGGCGACACCTCAACCCGCACATCTCACCTGCACAGACAACACCTACACGCACGCCAACGCACATTTGAACCCCGAATGCCAAAAATTGGCCAAATCTAGCTCAGATCTATCCCCTATCTAATTGAAAAAGCACACCCACTAACCTACACCTAAGACAAAAAGGTTCTGGATAACCTACTAACCCTAACCGGCTGGAATTGCAGTGAAACTAAAATGCAGACGCAAAGTCGGCTACACCACAACCTGAATGTCTATCTAAGATTGTAAAACTGAAAAAAAAAAAAAAAAAAGTTAATATTATTATTACTCTATTATTGTATATTGGATTTAAACGGAACACGAGGCCGGGGGGAAAGGAGGGGACACGCTAACCAAAATACCCCAACACGGAATACAGCACAGACGCACTAGCATTTTTGGTACAAGAAGCTGTGACAGCTTTCCCCAACACACTGTAGCAACTGCCGGGACAATATAAAAAAAAATAAAAAAATGGCGCTTCCACTCCCTCTGGCCTCAGTACCTCCACTAAGATAAGGCACCAAACCAACAATCAGGGATACTAGTTTGACATGAATTTCGGGGCAGATGAAAATACCTAAACAATGAAGGAGCCCAGGTAGCCTCCTTCGTGAGCAGGAAGTACATGCTCACCACACCCCAGGTACTATCAAGGAGTACCGAGCCCTACATCTGGGCATTGTTGTATATAGTTGAGCTCTCCTCGAGACTCAGGTTTATACCCCACCTATCCTTACCCCTAGTTGCAAACCATGAGAGGGATCAAGAACCCATTACACCCAAATCTAGGCATATCAAGCAAACAGTCAGCAAGTCGATTATCACCTGGCACCCACCATGGCTGGCATACCGAGGTAGACTGTCACTAAACATTATATTGAACTACTCAACAACAGGAGAAGAATCCCACCCTACCCAACCCCATAATGAAAATATATTCACATAATGTAAGGGGCCTAAACACCCCCCAAAAACGCCAAACATTGCGCACAGAACTGAAAAACCATAACGCGGATGTGATCTGCCTCCAAGAAACTCACTTCAAAAGGCAGACATCTCCTTCCTTAGACCCTTCACAATTCCCGAACCAATACCACTCCACACATAGCCACAAGTCTAGAGGAGTTAGCATTCTAATACACAAATCAGTCGCATTTGATCCACTCAAAATAGTTAAAGACGCCAATGGGAGATACCTTATCCTAATATGCAACCTTAATGATGTCACATACACCATAGTCAATATCTACGCACCAAACGACAATCAATGGCACTTCCTACATAAAATACTGACTAAAGTGAGCAACATACAACAAGGCATAGTAATATACTGCGGAGACCTCAACCACACCCTAGACCCAGAAATGGACACTACACTTGACGCAAAAAAACCCAGACTGGCATCTCTTAGACCGGCCTGCGCCAAACTTAATAAACTGCTAATTCAATTTAACTTATACGATGTGTGGCGCACACTACATCCAGGGGATAAGGACTACACCTACTACTCCCAAGTGCACAAAACCCACTCTAGGATAGATCATTTCTTCATGACCAGCACAGGATTATCACATACGCATCAATGTATATATGGAGATATCACATGGTCAGACCATGCCCCAGTGATACTGACACTCATTGACGCATTCACATACAAAGGCAAAGGTTCATGGAGACTAAACGACTCACTGCTTCACGACCAAGACTTCACCCTCACGCTAGAACAAGAACTTAAACACTATTTTAATACTAACGAGAACCCCCAGACCACGGCCCCGATTCTGTGGCAAGCACACAAATCAGTCATACGAGGACTGTTGATCCGCAGGGCATCATATCTCAATAAACAAAGACGAGCAACACTTATGAAACTGCTCATACAACTAAGGGATACGACCCAAACTTATTATCAAACAAAACAACAAGATCTCCTACCAGAAATCCAAAACATCACCTCTAAAATGAATGACCACCAATTCCAAAAAACGGCATACATTCTGAAAAAATTCAAAATGAACCACTATGCGAAAGGGAACAAGGCCAGCAAATTGCTGGCCAACATGTTACGCAAAAAACAATCTAACTCTAAGATCCCATACATTCTCTCAAAAAACAACCAAAAACTATGGAACCCACAAGACATGAACAGGGAACTAGTGACCTTTTATAACACCCTCTATAACTTAAAAGCAGATGACACACTATATCAACCAACTGTCGCAGACATTGAGGGATACCTACAACACATACCGCTGCCAACATTGACAGAAGAACAAAAACACAAACTGTCGGAACAGATCTCGATAACGGAACTAACGGATGTAATTGCTAGACTACCTACAGGGAAATCCCCAGGCCCAGACGGATTCACGAATCAATATTACAAAACTTTCGCAACTACACTCATTCCCTACATGAAACAAACCTTTCAATCCATAATACACACAGGGACGATCCCACAGGAAATGCTCATAGCCCATGTAGCCACACTACCCAAACCAGGGAAAATGCCAGACAAAGGACAGAACTTACGCCCAATCTCACTTCTTAACACAGATCTTAAACTGCTGGCGAAAATATACTCGAATAGACTAGCTGCAATCCTTCCAGAATTGGTCCATGAAGACCAAGTTGGCTTTATAAAGGGAAGGCAGGGCACTGACGGCACTAGGAAAGTCTTAGACATACTATACAGCATACACAAACGGAAAACGGGATGCCTATTCCTGTCGCTAGATGCCGAAAAGGCTTTTGATAGGCTGAATTGGGACTTTCTCAGAGCGACATTAACGAAGTTCGAATTCCCACCAGAGTTCATGAACACAATACAAGCTTTATATAGCAAATCCACTGCTAGACTCATCAACGCAGGGTTCCTCTCGGACCCATTTGAGATCACAAATGGGACCAGACAGGGGTGCCCCCTTTCACCCCTATTATACGTACTAGCGCTAGAACCTTTCACGACTCTCATTAGACAACACCCATTAATCCTAGGCGTCAAAACACAAAGCAAAGAACATAAACTCACACTATTCGCGGATGACATACTACTGACGATACAAGACCCCGAAGCTTCTCTACCACATTTCCATTCTACACTAGAAAACTATAGCAAAATGTCCTATTACAAACTAAATATTTCAAAGACGCAAGCCCTTTGCAAAGGTCTCCCCCCAGAGGTCACTTATAAACTAAAAAACACCTACACATACGACTGGAGGACTGACTACATTACATTTCTAGGTATACGGTTTACAAAAGCACATACTGCATTATTTAACGCCAACTATGGCAAACTCAGTATAGAGATAAAAAAACAACTACAAGAATGGAAAACATCATTCATATCCTGGTCGGGACGCATGGTAGCGATCAAGATGATAATCCTCCCTAAGTTGTTATACCTTTTCAGATCACTTATGATTCATATACCCACCACTTACTTTACCACAATCCAACGCTGGATAACCAGATTTGTTTGGAATGACAAAAGGGCACGCATAGCCCTAAAGGTACTGCAGTTACCGCTCAAAGAAGGGGGTATGAATTTGCCAAACCTCAAACAGTACTATCATGCAACTGTACTTAGCAGCATTATCCAAACACGACCAGGCGCACAAGCACCTCAATGGAAGCACATAGAAGCAGAATGGGCCAATAATATTAGCACTGACAACTTAATATGGATACCGAAACTTAACCGGCCTTACCTACAAGATTGCCTACCAACCACAACATTATCACTAAAAATATGGGATGGGGTCCGTCCCCTCCTAACAAATAACTCAATCCTTTCCAAAGCCATGCCACTTAAATCAATAGCACACATTATCCCAGATTTTAACTACAGAATATGGGAAAGACACGGCATACAATTTCTACACCAGATACTCACTAACACAGGACTAGCAACCTTCGCCTCACTACAGAACTCACATAAGCTCCCAACGGTAGCACATTATTCCTACCGCCAACTAGACTCATGGTTGCGCATACAAATTCAGGAGCAAACAATTAACATTCAGGCACAAAAGATGACAGAATTTGAGGAAATGTATATTAGCCCCACACCGTCCCAGAAAATCATATCCTCTATCTACACAACACTACCCACAAAATGCAAATTGCACGAACACAGATTTATCAAAGCGTGGGAAACAGAAATCCACCAAAAATTTACTGAGCCGGAATGGGAACGTATGATCCTAACCCCCAAATCCTTCACGTTATGCTCAAAACACATAGAGCTTGCCAAAAAACTCCTGTATAGATGGTACCTCACGCCCATACGGCTACACAAATATAATCAATCCCTTCCAATACAATGCTGGAGATGCAAATCAGACACAGGAACAATGGCACACATATGGTGGACCTGCCCATACTTGCAACAATACTGGAAAGACATATCCCAAATTATCACACACAGTACAGGATGCACCCTACCTCATAATTTGGACAACTATGTGCTCTTCAATATCCCAGAATCGCTACCTAAACCAGATAGGTACCTCATCTTCCATATAAATATAGTAGCCCTAGGCGCCCTAGCACAAAACTGGCTATCACAAACCATACCCTCCATCCCCATGTGCATACAACAAATAAGCCACGCGGGCCACTTTGAATCCACAATGAGAAGGCAAACCACCTCTCCCAACAAACCACACAAACAGTACCGAAGATACTGGGAAATAGCATGGGATAAGTGGGAAACATACAAAGTGACACAACAGGGAACCTCCCATCATGAGCTGACGTCATGCTGACCTTAACCCACACGAAGCCAGAATACTTACCAAAGCATACCCCACCAGACGAGAATGCCAAAGTAAATGATCACAAGGAGTAAGACCACTCCACACAACACTAGAGGTCAAAAGCAAAATTGAAGAGCAATCTGAATAACCCTCAAATGACCCCAAGCACATATCAAGCCCCCAGGGGAAATTATGGCAATCGATACCACTGAAACATAAGGTCAGGCCCTAGTTCTCTCCCTCTAATCTACTCCAAAGGTACGGGAAAAGTATACATCCCAAAGGTCAATGCACGAATACCACTGCCTTGCACGGTTTAACAGTTATTATGTATACTCCAATAAATGTGATTACAGAGAATGTATGAGACGACTAATCTGTACACACCCTTTATGGAATTGCAACTACCCTCTCCCCCACCCCTCCCCTTCTTTTTTCTGTATCCTCATCCTCACGAAATGACAAAACAATAAAAATTGTCAAATTTGAAAAAAAAAAAAAAACTAGATATTCATCTGCCATCGCACAAAAACGCATTCTCTGTTAATCTAATTGTTTATAATCCAACAGTAACTCTCACACTGCTTACAACTAACAGTCCTTACACACTGAGTTAAAGGGACACTATAGTCATCAGAACAACAACAGCTTAATGTAGTTGTTCTGGTGAGTATAATCGCTCCCTTCAGGCATTTTCATGTAAACACTGCCTTTTCAGAAAATGGCAATGTTTACATTGCTCCTAGGGACACCTGCAAGTGGCCACTGGAGGGGCTTCCTGGCTCAGCGCTGCACAGTAAGCAGCCCTGCCATTCAGCATGCCCACGCTCTGCATAGAGACGCTGAATTTTCCTCATCCTGATTGGCCAAAACGGCATTTGGCCCCACCCCAGTGCCGATTTTAGCCAATCCAATGCTTTCCCTATGGGAAAGCATTGGATTGGCTAAAAATAGGACATTTTGATGATGTCACAAAGGGATTAGCACTGGAAATAAGATACGTTTTAAACTTTTATATGGGGGGGGGGACAAGCCACCAAATGTTGGGTTTAGCACTATAGGGTCAGGAATACATGTTTGTTTCAGGTGTTACTTCCCTTTTAACTCTATATTGTTTTTGTTTTTGTTTTTTTGTCTCTCCCAGTAAGTTGGATAATGAACTGCTGTTGAAGCTAATTGCCAATCTTCATATGCTTCTCAAGGATGACAATGTGAATGTGGTGAAGAAGTCAATACTAACCATGACCCAGTTGTACAAGGTGACCCTGCAGGTGAGAGAGACATGGCTTGTAGTGATACATGCATTACAGACAATTATTTCTCCTCTGTCCTTCCTCCGAAGTACTTTTTTTTGGGGGATTTCTTTACTTGATGCTTTCTCCTTTATTCTGGCATCTATCTTGTTCATAATCAAAACCTCAATTTTTCCAAATATTTAGATACTTTTTCACTTTTGTTCATTGTTTCTGTCACTTTCAAAAATATAATTCAATTGCTGTATTAGCCATATCTGATATTCTCCTCTTCCCATAGTGGATTGCACGCTCACGCCCTCCGTCAGATCGACAGGAGTCTTGTTGGGACCTAGTCACTGAAATGGCCGGAGACATCTTGCTTATGTTGGAGTCCGATAATGATGGGATCCGTACCCATGCAGTGAAGTTTGTGGAGAGTTTGATTGTCACATTGTCACCTCGTACAGCAGACAGCGACATACCCAAGAGGCAGGAGGGTGACATCAGCCTTGAACAGCTTCCACCTGACCACCCCTATCTGAAATATAGTGAGTGTAAAAGTTACTGCATCCTTAGCCACCACATTCCCTTTCCATATTTGTTCTGTATTTTTCTTACTGTGGACATCTCATTGCTGTATGTTTCTACAGATGGTCTGCGGGATGCAGGAAAGCAGGCCCTTAAAGAACTACTGAAGTTCATGGCTCACCCAGCCATCTCCAGTATCAATCTAACAGCAGCCTTGGGTTCTTTGGCATCTATTGCCCGCCAACGACCCATGTTTATGGCTGAAGTCATTCAGGCATATGAGACCTTGCATGGTAAGTGCTGAAGATTGCAATGTTTTGAATTTCCCCTCAATAAGTTTGTCTAAATCATTTTGTGACTGTAATTTATGCAGTATGGAAATCCACCATGTACCATCTTGCTCACCATTTGCTTTATATGCTCATCCCACTTTTACGACCTTTGGGGGGGTTTTGTTGTTTTTTTTTCTTTTTTGAAACTTGCGTCTGCAAATTGATCAACTGTCTTGCTTTCTAAAATAGAAATAAAAAACATTTAGCTATTACCTTTAACTTTTCATTGCTCCTCTTTTCTCTCCTACTCCTACAGCAAACCTGCCCCCCACTCTGGCAAAGTCTCAGGTGAGCAGTGTTCGGAAGAATCTTAAGTTGCAGTTGCTTAGTGTTCTGCGCCATCCATTATCCTATGAGTACCAAGGGCCCATCACCACATTGCTGCTAGATCTGGGAACCAGCCAGGGAGAAATCACTAGAAATCTTCCACCTCCCAGGGATATTGGTCGAAAGAGGACCAGGGAAATGGAACCAGGAGGACCAAAGAAGAGCCGCACAGGTAAGACGTCCCTTCAGTCTTTGTATAGTAGAGCAATAGCTTGGTGAATGTGGATTTGTAGTATAATGAACATTTGGAGGGTAGTGGGATTTTGGTGACAAGGTAGAGTATGAGAGCAAATGATTCCTCCTAAACGTTGCTGGAGTTCTATAGCAGGTTTGTGATTTCCACTTTAGAAGCAGCTCTGGCTGACGACGACGATGATAAAGATCAGGTGCCACATCCTCCATTGCCCCCTCCTGCTCCAAGCAAGCTGTCGGCTACAGATATCACTGCAGAGTTTCTAAACCCCCTTCTGACGCCAGAGAGTGTTGCCAACCTGGTACTGTATCTCGCAGAAAACTGTTGTGTTCATTGCTCAGATATTTTTACAAAAAAGGAAAACAACTGGATAGCTTAAATACACTCTGTGTAATGTGGGAAAAATGTCCAAGAAGACACATCTCCACTAATTTAAAAACATTTTGTTAAATATAAGTTTCTACTAACAATCAAGGTATTTAAATTGTTCCTCTCGATAAGATAACAGCAATATAATAAACCACACAGTTTTAGGATTCCCATATTATGTATTTATTATGCATATTCCATCCAAGATTATCAAAGAAACTGTTTGGTACCATTTTTAAAAATAAAAAAAATTCCCCAAAACCTGGAACATTTAATAGTTTGTCAGTAAGCTTCTTGTGAAAATCTTGTTGTTTTTGTAATATAATTTATTTTATCCCCGTTTTTCCTATTTCATTGCGGTGTGTTTCAGGTCCTTATCAGTATGGTGTATCTCCCGGACACCATGCCTGCCTCTTTCCAGTCTACATATACACCAGTGGAGTCTGCGGGCACTGATGCCCAAATCCGGCATCTTGCTCGACTCATGGCCACACAGATGACCTCAGCAGGCATTGGACCTGGTAAGTAGTGGGATCTGATGTTGTTGGTGTCTGCAGAGTATATAATCACATGAAAGGAATGGTGATTGGTGGTCTTGGGTATAATGTTCAAACTACAATAATATGTCTTAAAACAAGGCAGCTAGGTCTCTGTTAATATTAATCTGTCATGTAGGTGTTGAGCAGGTTAAAGAGACTCCAGCAGAAGTAGTAGAGGAAGAAAGCGCCAAGCCTGAGGGTTTGGTGATCAAGCGTCGGGTGTCAACACTGGTTCAGGGGCAGGCCATCTCTGTGCTTGGTGCCCAGAGTACATCTATTAAAGAAAGTGAAGATGATGAAGCCCCACAAGCTAAGAAAAGACCAGAACCTATTCTGCCAGTAACTCAGCCCAGGTAAGAATTAATTAAACTATATTTATGTGTCAGTTAATGATCCCACCCATGTGCACATTAAACCTTTTTTTCAATGCTCAGACCTGCTGGGGTTGGAGGCCGTAAGAAGGTGTTCAGATTAAAGGAAGTGTCTGAGCCGCTAACAGACACTCAGATTGCGAGTCTCAAACTTGGAGCAGTGCGACGAATACTGCAGGCAGAGAGGAGTGTCAGTAGCAGTGGCTCATCCCAGGTACTAAACACTACATGCCATTAATTAGGATCAGTTATAGGAGATGTAATTGTGTAATAAGCTGTCATAATTTTTTTATTTAGATGCGAATAAAGGTCCTTGCCCGTCTGGTGACCCGTTTGGATACTTCTATGAAGGCAGAGGTTTTATGTCACTTTATGAGTGACACACGTGGTCGACTTGAGTTGGCACTGGCCTGGCTGTTCCAGGAGTACTGCGAGTATCTGTCTTCCGGTGACGATGAAGGATACCAGGAATGTCTGATTGGGATACTGACCGGTCTCCAAGAGAGACCTGACCAAAAAGACGGGTCAGTGATCATGTGCTTAAATGTGTGTCTTGGGAGTGACTTAAACTAAACCTGCTAGAGGGATCCTAAAAGAATGATGAAAAATGTTCAATACTCAAGATAACGAGGTCACGTGCTGTATTTGTTTATGCAGAGTGCTAGTGATATTTAATAATGGCACAAAAGGTATAGTTTAACCCTATGTAAAACTATGGCAAGATATATGAATCTACTTAAGGCTCAGCACACCCTCTTATCCCTTTAGGATCTTCACAAAAGTTGTCTTAGAAGCTCCTCTGCTCACAGATGCAGCTCTTGACGTGATCCGGAAATACTGTGAAGATGAGGTTGGTGGATTAGCATCCTTTACCTATTGTACAACACTAAAATTTCACTTTGTTAGACGTTGTACTCTTTTATAAGTTGCACTCCTTTGCACCCATCATTCTCATCTCTTGCTCCAGGGTCGCAGTTATCTAGGGATGTCCACTTTGCGAGATCTCATCCTCACTCGGCCTGCCAGGCAGTTCCAGTATCTCCATCTTCTTCTGGATCTGAGTTCCCATGAAAAGGATAAGGTTAGAACTGTAGCGTAACAAATATTGACACAGAAGCAGAGCTGCTCTGTCTTTGGGTTTCACAAACTCCACATGTTCTCTTTTCCCAGGTCCGTCAGCAGTCTCTGCTATTCATTAAACGTATGTACGACAAGGAAAGTCTCCGACAGTACATAGAGAAGTTTGCCCTAAATTATTTGCAGCTTCTCGTCCATCCAAACCCTCCATCCGTTCTCTTTGGAGCAGATAAAGATACAGGTGGGGACTGTGGCCAAAATTAAAAATCACTACTTTATTCTCACCAGCCCTCTCTTGTTATCCACATATGATTTTTTTTTTTTTCTTTCCTTTTCATTATAGAGGTTGCAGCACCCTGGACAGAAGATACTGTTAAACAGTGTCTATATCTGTACTTGGCTCTACTCCCACAGAACCACAAACTGATACATGAGCTGGCATCTGTCTATACAGAAGCTACCGCTGACATCAAGAGGACTGTGCTGAGGGTCATTGAGACCCCGGTGAGTACATTAAGCAAGGAGCCCATTCCTTTTCTAAAAACACATTATTTACTTTTAAGGGAAGGGATGCTTTCTCAGTACAGTAGTATGTTTTATTATGTTTTAGACAAAGTTTGAGTTGGTATGTTCTACTTTAGTTTACTCTGCTGGAAGACTATTCAATACATCTACGCTTGTGTTTGTAAAAGGATAAATCACATTGCCTTTCCTCCATCTTCACTTCCTGTCCTCTGTAGCCTTTCTTTTAGATTGAAAATAACACTTTTTTGTGCTTTGTAAAATTCCTTTAAATATTTGTAAAGGAGAGGGGTAAATGTCAGTATTATGCTATAGCAGGTGACTCTCTGTGAATCTAGAGAGCACAGAATATTAGTAGCTCAAAAATAAAATGAATGGGGATACCAAGGGAAAAGGATGATGAGTGAAGGACATATTACTCCAATTCATGTATCTCTCTTTAACCTCCACTGAACTCTTTTTCCAAACTGTCTCCAGATCAGAGGCATGGGCATGAACTCCCCTGAGTTGCTGCTGTTGGTGGAAAACTGCCCCAAAGGAGCTGAGACTCTTGTCACCCGTTGCCTGCACATCCTAACTGACAAAGGTAGCCTTTATCTGACTTCTGGTGCTTGTGACTCCTATTTCCTGCTTAGTTTTTCTAGATCAGTGTTTCCTATGTCTGGGATAAGGCCCAATTTTGAGTCTCTGTGATGTTTCCACTGGTTGGATCGTGCACATCATATTCATCAGGCTACTGTCAGCTGCCACAGATAAATTACTTACTGTAGTGGCAAAGCCTTCCCTAGTACAGACAATGTTCACACAGGGATGAGTCAAATGAATGAATTTTGCTTTATGTGTTACAAATGGGTCTCTGAACTAACTTTGCATGGATCATCAAGGTGTTGCCTTGTTCATAATTTAATTCCCTGTTCAAAATGGTTAAGTACCATTGGTCATTATCATTTCCAGCACCCTCTTTCAAATCCTGCTTATTGCCTTTTACTCTCCAGTCTCCATTCACCATAACTGAAATGTCCAGCTGTGTTTCCCCCGGATTCATATGTACAAGCACATTTCTGTCCTTGGACTATCCTGTCCCAGGACTGTGGCTTTTAAACATTCCACCTACTGAGCATTACTTTTCTGTAAAACCTTCCAGTCATTGGCAATTCCAAGCTTTCTTTCCTAGTGATCTTAATAAACAGCTTGTATAGTTTAATACCACAAACTTTGATCTCTTCTTAGCTCCTGAGTCCATCAAAAAGGGAACACAATGTATAATAAGCCCAGATAAATAAATATGAAATCAAATGCTCATCATTTTCATCAGACTGTGGTTCTCTGGTAGACACTGGATTTGAATACTTTGGTTATAGATGTGAATGTTGGCCCCTGGTCCTCATCATGCAGGAACTTTATCCTCTGTCATTACACATCTGAATGCTCTTTACTGAGCTTTGTGTCATGTCCCACCCAGCTAAGCAATAATGCAGTTGTTGTGCTTATGTTTATAATCAACAGATCTGTTTGTAAATGTTTATTAAACTGTTTGTCTAACCCTAGCACCACCGTCTCCTGAACTGGTGAAACGCGTCCGTGATCTTTATCAGAAACGTCTGCCAGATGTCCGTTTCTTGATACCTGTGCTGAATGGGCTAGATAAGGTGAGTAGACTAAAGAGTTGACTATTACACTGCCACAGTTATTGGACACAGCCATAGGTATAGAGGTATAAGCCGTATATGTTCCCATATGTTGTTAGCAGCACTTTTTATAGACTTTACTTAAAGCTGACCTCGACGGTTGCTTGTTTATAGCTGACAGGCAACTTAAAAAACCGTGTTAGATACTTTTAGCCCCTCCACTGCTTGGGTGTGTAGAACATCAGAAATAATAAACTATAAAATTAATGTCTCATCTCTTACAGAAAGAAGTCATTCAGGCTTTACCAAAACTTATCAAACTCAATCCGATTGTGGTAAAAGAGGTTTTCAATAGACTCCTGGGAACACAACATGGTAAGTGTTGGAGGGAGTGATGTAAGGTGACCATGGGAAAAAAGGGTGATATTTATTCCTAGCTTATGCTATATGTGTACAAATATAGTGACTGCAATAGATGAGTGTGTATGTGTATATCTGTTGCTGCTGCCGCCATCTTTGTGGAGGCACAGTCAGTCTTCGTGGAAATGTAGCTTTTAATTTCTTCATTTGCTGCTGATTTTGTCGAAGTTATGTACTCCTCTTTTGTAGATGGCAAGTTATTAAGGGTGGAGGAGTGAGTCAATAAGACTTGTGCTCTTTCTTGTCACAGGAGAACTCAGTTCCACCATGTCGCCGCTCACACCTGGAGATCTTCTGGTTGCTCTTCATAATATTGACTCCAGTAAATGTGATATGAAATCTGTCATTAAGGGTAAGCCTCCAGAGTCCAGCAAAATTCACTAAAATGTCTCCAACCACTTTGGTTTTGTCCACTGTGCTACCACCACAACCATTTTTCCTTGTGTTCATTTAACTGTTATTTTTATGTTTTTATTTCTCATTCCCCAGCTACCAATCTGTGCTTTGCATCTCGTTCCGTGTACACCTCTGAAGTCCTAGCAGTGGTCCTTCAGCAGCTTATGGATGCCACACCTCTTCCCATGCTCCTCATGAGGACGGTTATCCAAGCCTTGGGGATGTATCCTCGACTTGGTGGTTTCATCATGAACATACTGACTCGTCTCATCTACAAGCAGGTGCCCCCTTGAGTTTGGTGACTGGGGAAAGGGTAGTAAAAGAAGAAAAAATGGAAGGTCCTCCAATTACCAGATATTGTGTGACACAGAATACTTCAGTAGTTAATTAGGTAGCAGATATCAAAGAATAGAATTTAGACTGTAAGATCTATAGACTGTAAGCTCGTTTGAGCCGGGCCCTCTTCAACCTATTGTTCCTGTAAGTTTTTGTAATTGTCTCATTTATTGTTAAATCTCCCCCTTTGATAATTTTGTAAAGCGCTGCGGAATATGTTGGCGCTATATAAATAACAGTAATAATAATAGGAAAGTCAGAGAAGACCTTTTAATTTATTTACTCCATTTAATATTGGATTCAGCAACCTCGCTCCACAATGTAGAAATACATACATTTTTAAGTGCAGATAAGAAAAAGAAAACAGGTCCTAGTGCCTATACTGAAACTGCAAGTAGTGCATTATTGTATATATTTTTTTTTTGTTTAATGATGTGCCAGACCATACCTAACTAATAGATTACCTGTTTGTTGTTGCTGCTGACATTATTGCACTAGCGCATGGCACATTTAACTGATTTTCCGGAGTTTGCTCCTTTAGGTTTGGAAGTATCCGAAAGTATGGGAAGGGTTCATTAAATGCTGCCAAAGAACTAAACCACAATCCTTCAGTGTCCTCCTGCAGCTCCCACCTCCACAGCTTCTCTCTGTTCTACAGACCTGTCCTGACCTCCGGGATCCTCTTTTAGCTCATGTCAGGACTTTCACTCCACACCAGGTGAGAAAGGAATCTATATCAAATCCTGTAAACGTACAAAAGGGAAAGAGAAGAATTATGGGAGGAGGTCTGGTCTAGTCATTAACTTAATGTCCTATTCAAAAAGGTTATGGGATTAAGAAGGGAGACTTTGTAGGTTAAGTGCACAGTACATTTTCACTTGTCTTCTCTTCCTATAGTTGGCCCATGTTCCTCACTCCATCATGGCTATTCTCGAAGCTGAATCCAGAGGAGAACCAGAGTCAGAGGATGCTGCACAAGCTGATGAGGTTTTTTTTTTTTTTTTATCTCCTTATCACTTTCCTCATGATTAGTGCACTGTACCTTGTTTTAAAGCAAACCATCTTCTCTTTTTTTTCCCTAACCTTAGGAGCAGGAAGACCCCGGCCAGGATATTATTTCTCGTCGCCTGGCTCAGGAGAAATCTTTAAAAAGGCAACTCTTGGAGGAACAAAAGGGACGTAAAACCCAAGAATTAGATGTGGAGATGCCAGAGGTTGACACACCTACCATATTCATAGATGATAAAGAGGAAGAGCTAACGGTTTGTGTTAAATATTCTATAAATGTTTTTGTGTAAGTTTGTGTCTCCTATTTCTGGATTTATCTAACCCTTTCTATTCACAGAAGGCCCAGGTGAAAGAAGGATCCCAGGACGATTCTGTGAAATCTACAAATCGAACACCACAGTCTAGTCCACCTGATGAGCCTATGGAAGAGAGTGTAGAAACAAAAGATGACTGAGAGACCACAGAATTCATAACTTCACAATTAGATCTGCTTTGACTGAACATTACTGTGATACATTAAAATGTTTGTTCTATATGTAAATATTTGCAATGTTGTGTCTCAAAGTGTATGTACGTCAATTGGTCACTACCATTTCACAAAAGCTGAATTGGCAAACAAATGTGATAATAAAATTACATTTTCATGGTATTTACAATTAAGATTATGGTTCTGACACCAGTAGGCAAAACAACTGTGATCTAGGATTTCGAAGTTACATAGTTATGTAACAATGTGGGATTTTTTGTTTGTTGTCTAACCTGTCCTGTTGGACTTTTAAAGAGACACATCATGGGTCAAATGCAAAAAAATAAAATAAGCCCCAAAAACATACATGCATTGAGAGAGAGAGTGTGAGTGTATGTGTTTTTTTTGTTTGTTTTTTTAATTCTATATCGCTTGCAAAAGCTGCATTTCTCTCGTCTGCAGCCTTTGCAAGGCCTTCTCTTCTTCCCCAGGCCAAAATTGCTGACTGTCCAATCATAGACTTTCCAATGCAGCTCATTGAGAAGTCTTTGCAAGGCAGGTGCTTTGGGCAATTACTGCTTCTTGACTTTAGCTCAATTGTGCCTAACAGCCAGGAAGTAACTGACAGCCATGGGGGCCTAACAAGGTTAAATTATAAAAGTGCCAATTTCTGTGAAATCTGCACTTTTTGTAAAATGAGGATACTACTAAATGGCTGTAATCCAACTGGGTGATAAACAACTGAAAATTTGACATATGGAACAAAACCATAGAAATGCAGAAGGTCCAGATTTGCCTGTGGTCGGTTTCAACACCTGTCCTATTATAACCTGACGTAGCCAAAAGAAACACTATTTAATCAAGTAATTATTTAAATATGGAAACTCAAAGGTGTCACTGTAGCCACCTAAACAACTTTGGTTTAATGAAGCAGTTTAGTGTATAGATCATGCCTCTCGGGTTTTACTGCTCAATTCACTGTCATCTAGGAGTTAAATCACTTTGTTTCTGTTTATGCAGCCCTAGTCACACCTCCCCTGGCTATGATTGACAGAGCCTGCATGGAAAAAAAATTGGTTTCACTTTCAAACAGATGTAATTTACCTTAAATAATTGTATCTCAATCTCTACTTTAATCACATACAGGAGGCTCTTGCATGGTCTAGCAAGCTATTAACATAGCAGGGGATAAGAAAATCTAAATTAAACATAACTTGCAATACAGAAATGGTAAACTTTAGATGGCTTTACAGGAAGTGTTTAGGAAAGCTGTGCAAGTCACATGCAGGGTTGATAAACAAAGTGATTTAACTCCTAAATGGCAGATAATCGAGCAGTGAGACTGCAGGGGCATGTTCCATACACCAAAACTGTTTCATTAAGCTAGGTTGTTTTGGTTACTATAGTGTCCCTTTAAATAGCTAACTCTTGGAGTGAAAGTGTTTAATTCAACAGAGGTGTCTGATATACTAATATAGACATTAGTGAAGGGGGTAAATAATTGTGGCTGCCCATCCATTATTAACCCTCTCGTCACCAGCTATAAAATTAAGGAATTTAAGAGACAATAGCTCTGGGTGGTTCCTGGTTGAGAAGGGGTCTGGGCATTTTATGAGTTAAACTTTGTTGCTTACTCTGCAAATATTGCAGCTTTTTGTAGGTTTGACTGCAAAATCCTGATTAATTTATTTAGCAAATTTGCCTTCAACTAGATCTGTTCAGAGTAAAACCAAGTAATAATCCAATGTTTACTACATGTGAGAATCCTATCATTTTAAATAGAGTTCAGTCACTGGGTGGTGCCAAATGAGATGCATTTTAACTGGATTTTCCTTTAGTGAATATGCAAATCGCAGATCCAGTTATTGGACAGAATGTGATTTGTCAAATATTCTGAGCATTTGAAGCAGATGACTTGGAAATGTTGGCTATTTTGGTTTACATCTACAATTAGAAATCCACTTTACAGCATACCCTGTGAGGGGATTAACTGGTCCCTCCATGTATGCTCCATATTACAGAGCATCTGTATGGCACCCAGACATGGGCACCCTGGGCATGTCACCCTCCTCAGTGCATGGGTGATATTTTGGTTAAATTGCCTCCCAGCTCTGTGGACATGCAGCCTGTGTCAGTATTGAAGGTTAGCCAGCCATGCCAGGTGTAAATCCCGGGTTAATTAAACCTATCACCACCAGGTATAAACTCTGAGAAGCACTCAGCAGGTATATAGAGCCTTCCCTCCATTGACTGATCAGAACTACAACTTCCGGCGTGCCTTGCGCGGCAGGGAGAGATCACGTGGTGCAAAGCGTTGCTCGTCTCTTAGCAACCAGGTCTGATAGTGGTTTCCGTGGTAACGGGCCATACAGAGCCGAGACCTGAGGAAGATGTCGGAGGAGCCGGAGCCCGAGCCCGTGTCCCTGGATCCCAGAGAGCTGCAGATCCGCAATGCTAAGGCTTACTTACTGCAGGCAGACAAATCAGGGCTCAGCCTGTGAGTATGGGGGTGTAAGCTTGGGGTTAGGGGGATATATAATACACAGGGGGTCAATATAATACACAGGGGGTCAATATAATACACAGGGGGGGATATATAATACACAGGGGGGATATATAATACACAGGGTGGGGATATAATACACAGGGGGGGATATATAAGGGGACATATACACACAGGGTGGGATATAATACACAGGGGATATATAATACACAGGGTGGGGATAACACAGGATATATACCACACAGGGTGGGGATATAACACACAGGGGGATATAATACACGGGGGAGATATATAATACACAGGGTGGGTATATAATACACAGGGTGGGGATATAATACACGGGGGAGATATATAATACACAGGGTGGGTATATAATACACAGGGTGGGGATATAATACACGGGGGAGATATATAATACACAGGGGGGATATAATACACAGGGGGGGATATAATACACAGGGGGGGATATAATACACAGGGTGGGGATATATAATACACAGGGGGGATATATAATACACGGGGGATATATAATACACAGGGGGGGTATATAATACACAGGGTGGGGATATAATATACAGGGTGGGTATATAATACACAGGGGGGGTATATAATACACAGGGTGGGGATATAATATACAGGGTGGGTATATAATATACAGGAGGATATAATACACAGAGTGGAGATAAAATACACAGGGTGAGTATATAATATACAGGGGGATATAATACACAGAGTCGGGATATAATATACAGGGGGCTATAATATACAGAGTGGGTATATAATGTACAGGGAGATATAATATACAGAGTGGGTATATAATATACAGGGTGGGTATATAATATACATAGGGGAGATATAATATATAGGGTGGGGATATAATACACAGGGTGGGGATATAATATACAGGGGGATATAATATATAGGGTGGGTATATAATATGTGGGGGGTATATAATATATAGGGGGGTATAATATGTGGGGTATATAATATACAGGGGTATATAATATGTGGGGTATATAATATACAGAGGGGTATAATATGTGGGGGATATAATATACAGGGTGGGTATATAATATGTAGGGAGGTATATAATACACATGGGCTATATAATATACAAGGTGGGGATATAATATGTGGGGGGATATAATATGAAGGGGATATAATATACAGGGTGTATATTATACAGGGGCTATATAATATACAGGGTGGATATGTAATACACAGGGGCTATATAATATACAGGGTGGGTATATAATATACAGAGGCTATATAATATATAGGGTGGGTATATAATACACAGGGGGTATATAATGCACAGGAGCTATACAATATACAGGGTGGGTATATAATATACAGGGTAAGTATATAATACATGGGGTAGGTATGTAATACACAGGGTGTGTATGTAATATGCAGGGTGGGTATATACTATACAGAATGGGCATGTAATATACAGGGTGGGTATATAATATATAATATACAGGATGGGTAAATACTATACAGGATGGGTATGTAATTTAAATTCTGCCATAATTCTCTGAAATTGGAATGTAGTACATAGCCTGTTAGAGGTTATTTAAAAAGTGACTTTCTGTGCAAATCGCTTTTTGCATTGTTTAAATTTAAATTCCTCGCACTCTGTGTATATGTCAGGCACCACTCACTCCCACTTGCTCTCCAGAAACAAAACACCATCAGAATCCTACATCTCAGTTTAAAAGGCAGTTCAGGCATAATATTATCTTCTTGAGTCTAGTCAATAGGCTGGTAAGATATAATGTTGAGCTGGCACTAGTAAAGAGACAACGTTGCAGACTAGTTATTAATATTCTCTTGTTTCCTTGTGGTGTTTTTACAGATATGAGCATCTTTCTGCCTTGCTCTCTCGGATATTGTCAGAGCGCCCCCCAAATGCACTGGAGTCACTGGCAGAGGTAAGCTCAGAGCTGCAATGGGCCAGATTGAATCGGGGGCCCGATGCTCTTCGCACACCAAGGGAGGAACTACAGTCTTACAGCAAGGCCGAAATTCAACGTGCATTATTTACTGGTGGTTCTGGAGAAGGGGAGGAGAACGAGGAAGGAGAAATGGTGAGAAGTTAAAAAAACATATAAGAAAATGGCATAACGAGAGGTATTGTATTGTAGAGAGTGGAAGGTTGATTGAAATTGTGAGGTGTATGTGGATGTTAAAAATATGTAGTAAAATACCTCTGAAGAGGACTGTCAGCTCAGACAGATGAGGAAATCAATACATTGAATAATTTCATATATTTAAATTAAGTTATTATTAATTATTCTTATTAAATACCTTGCAATATTAATATATAATTAGACTTTTGTGTGTAAAAATATAATGCAATCAGACGTATGTGAATACGCTTACAAACATTTTTTTATTTATTGTACTTGCTTAAAAAATAGGACGTTTTGTTGGATGTGCTTTGTGTTGGGTGGAGGCACTATGTCCTACTGAATTCCTGTGTCTCATTCTTATTGTCTGCCATTTTATAGATGGAATCACCCCTTCCAAATCTCCTCGAACTTGCTCACCTTGTTCAGCAAGGAGGGTTAAATTTAGGGAGAGATGAGACCGTACGGATATCACTTGCTCTGAAACGCCTCGTAGATGCTCATCCTCTTGAACGCTGTCGCTTCTGGGGCAAGATCCTGGGTACCCATGGCAGTTACTTGGTGGCGGAAGTACAGTTCCGGGAGGGGGAGGATGAAGAAGCAGTGGAAGGAGGAGAGGAAGAAGACAAGGTCTTAGAGGAAGAAGAAGAGGAAGAAGATGCAGAAGAAGCAGAGGATCTGCCCCCCAAATCCACCTACCACCCTCCACCAGAGATACCCCGAGAGGAGTATGGAATGGGGGCAAATAAATACATATACTTTGTTTGTTCTGAGGCAGGAGCAGAATGGGTCCGATTACCCCCAGTTACACCAGCTCAAATCATTGCTGCTCGTAAGGTATGAATACCTTTTATCTTTAGTCTGTAAAACTAAAAATGTTTAATGGCTACTTCAAAATACACGTATCAAACCCTTTAGGTGTACACCTAGGTATTATATGTCTATCTATCATCATCCAAAATATATGGGGGATTCAGGGCCTATCAGTACATCAATACAGAACACGTTTTAGACAAATAAAACTAAACATAGCAACAACCATCTCATGGTGTGGTGTTGGATTCTCATTTTATGGTTATAAAATGGTCAGGCCACCAGTACATCAAAGTTCCTTCGCTTTGTTAGGTTCTATACTAAGTTTTGTTACCTTCTATACTAAATGTATATCTAACAGAAGATTAATTCGCTTATCTTTCGTTCTTCATCAGATCAAGCGTCTCTTCACTGGAAATCTTGATGCCCCTGTTGTCACATACCCCCCATTCCTAGGAACAGAAGCCAACTTATTGCGAGCCCAGATTGCCCGAATCTCTGCTGGTACTCATGTCAGCCCCTTGGGTTACTACCAGTTTTCAGAGGAAGAAGGTGAAGAAGAGGAAGAGAGTGGTGCAAAGGACACATGTGAGGAGAATCCAGAATTTGAGGGAGTACCGGTGTCTGAACTTGCAGACAATCTGTCTAACTGGGCACATCACGTTCCACACATCCTGCCACAGGTGAGAAGTCTGCTACTCTTTTAAAAAAAAAAAAAAAGTTCCATGTTGAAAAAAGTAAAAAATGTATATACTGAGGGCTTGCAGATAGCTCAGTTAGCTCCCTGTAGAACATTTTGTTCCTTAAACAAGGTCATGGGGTTTATTTCCAGATAGGTCATCTTATCCTTCCAAGGTTGAGCGAAAGTACGATCAAGTTGGGTCTTTTTAAAGTATAAACAAAAATCAAAAGAGACTAAAGGGACAGGACAACCTGACCTAGAAGTCAAAAGGGGACTAAGTGGGTAAAGTGGGCATAACCCCGATAAATCATTTAGAGAAAGAGAGTTCCTAAAGCAGGTGCATTGAGAGTGAGGACCCAAGTGCCAAAGTCACCTGGATATCAACTCTGAAAACCACCAGAGATTTACCCACACGGAAGGTTAACAATTCAATACAGAGGGTAAAAGTTACAAGTATTTTAATCTTTATTTGCATTAGACAGATAATTACACACTAAACATGAAGCTTTCAAACATGAAGAGCCATAGATTCCTCCTTTTTAAGTTACTTTCTTTCTGTCACTTGCACTTTTTGCATCACTATTTTATTTGGTTTCATGTTTAGTGTGTAATTATCTGTCTAACGCAAATAAAGATTAAAATACTTGTAACTTTCACCCTCTGTATTGAGTTATTAACTTTCCATGTGGGTAAATCCGGGTGACTTTGGCACTTGGGTCCTCACTCTCAATAGACCTGCTCTTTTTCTCTGAATTATTTTGAAGTATGTCTACACTCCAAGACATGCCTGAAAATGAGAGGAAATTGTAGCATATCTTTGTTAGATACTATAAATAATTATTAAACATTTAAATCGTAGTATATCTTTGTAAAATACTATAATTATTAAACAAATCGTAGTATAACTTTGTAAAATACTATAATTATTAAACATTTAAATCGTAGTATATCTTTGTAAAATACTATCATTATTAAACAATTAAATCGTAGTATAACTTTGTAAAATACTATAATTATTAAACATTTAAATCGTAGTATATCTTTGTAGAATACTATAATTATTAAACATGTAAATCGTGGGGGCGGAGCCAAGCAACTGACCTGAATGGCTGCATGCCTAGCGAGCTCCGCTGCCAAAAAGTAGTTTGGACCAGCTAACACGAACCCAGCCCAACGAAACCGGTACCAAAACGACCTGCAGGCATCTACCAACGATATGGGCCGCAAAACTAAAAAATCTAAGCCCGACAACCCGCGGCAGCACCACAGCATTGGCGACATGTGGAAGCAGGCGCTTAGCGCCCAAGGCCCCAACATGGCCGCTTACAACGACTACGGCTCGGATATCTCTGATGATTTCACCACAGAGACTGAGATGGAACACCCGCATGAGGAAATACCACCTCGCAAGTCACCCCCGCAAGCAGACTCCTCACCAGTGACCGTTGCTGTCATGAAAGACCTCCTAGCAGATCTCCGACTAACCATACAGGCCGACATGGCCCAACTACGCAAGGACCTACAAGGCCTAACGGGCCGGCTGGGCACACTGGAGGCAGACTCCCAGTGCACCAAACAACACACTCAAGCCCTACAACAAACGGTCCAGGAGATCAAAATACAGCAATCCACATGCGAGCAGCGTATAGCAGCCTTAGAGGATCGGAGTCGCTGCCGGAACATAAAAATCCGAGGCATAGGAGAGGAGATACCGGAGTCTGAACTCCCACATACATTGCGGAGACTAATGCAGTCACTTCTACCTCACAAGCAAGCCAGACAGGTACCCATCGAAAATTTATTTCGCCTACCACGAGCAGCCAAGGCCCCACCAAAGGCCCCACGAGACCTCCTGGCTTGCTTCCAAAATCACGGAGACAAGGTGGCGGTAATGCAGGCTACGCGGAACCAATCACCGTACCCGTTTGAAAATATGCAGCTATCTTTTTACGCGGACTTGTCGGGGCCCACCCTGGCGTGGAGACGCACACTTCAACCCTTTACAGCCCTCCTACGCCAACATAAAATCACCTACCATTGGAGAGGTTCGCGCACACTGTTAATCCACCACGGGAATGCGACCTCTACCATCCAGGACTTACAAGAGGCAAATGAACTGCTACCGACCCTGGGACTTCCCCCGCTCGCTCATCCTCCACCGGAGCACAGAACCACGCTGGCACACAGCACCGCTTGGAATCCCGCAACAGCGACCCCATTCGTCCCTAGAAGAGCCGAAGCAGCAAACACCGCGGCAACCAACGCCTGACGCAGTCTTGAGGCTACCTAGTACCCAGACCAGTGTACTTTAAACACTCACGAACCAGTTATGATGTATATATGTTTAAAATTTTAATGCCGACATTTTATGGCAGAACTCACACTAGTGCTGGCAACCAAGGGCACGTTATAGCCACTTATGTAAAGCCATTCGAAATCTTCCCCCCCTCCCCCGGGTAACAGGGGATCTTTAAACAACACCAACGAGGGCACTGACTTACTTAACATGTACCTATTATACAGTCGTGCTAAAGTAAACTTTATACCAGTCATGTTCTCCCATCTCTCTCACTACTCTGAATACTACTCCCTAACAGGACCATACGATATATAAACATGACTATTCTGGTGTTATTTGTAACTATAATTCATGATATTCGTTAGCTCAGATCTACCGGTTTACAGATTTACCCAATATGCATAGCTAGGGATCAGCGGTCTACTTTAACATATATGTTCTCATGCTTTATAAATCTTTATGTGTCAGAGCCTCAACGTATCCTAACCCTGAAACATGAAAGCATGTCACCACATCCCACCGGTACTAACGTAGTTAACCTATAACTGTCAAGCATTACTTATTCTCAATTGTCTTACATATATCTATTCAGACAGTATAATCATCTAATTAAGCTGGTTAATACTCCACGAATATGCAAATACTACTGCTACTAACAAACGTGGGTTAATCTTGCATTACGTTTAGCTTGTTCATAATTCAACAATTAAAAATTGTGCTGATAATCTCATGCCATAAATGTACAGCTACTGTGTTCACATCTTTTAAATATGCTGCTGTGGCATTTACAAATGATTTGTTACTCCATGCACAAAGAAAAATAAAGAATTTAAAAAAAAAAAAAAAACATGTAAATCGTAGTATATCTTTGTAAAATACTACAATTATTAAACATTTAAATCGTAGTATATCTTTGTAGAATACTATAATTATTAAACATTTAAATCGTAGTATATCTTTGTAAAATACTATAATTATTAAACATTTAAATCGTAGTATAACTTTGTAAAATACTATAATTATTAAACATTTAAATCTTAGTATATCTTTGTAAATTACTACAATTATTTAACATGTAAATGCAATTAATCCTGCATTCTAAAGACATCAAGTTGCACGAAAATGCCATCTAGATTTTTTTTTTTATTTTTTTTTTAAGTAAACTGATAGATTGTATTGAACATGTTTTTTTCTGGTTTTATAGCATATGCAGCAATATAAATATATGCTGAAACTCAATAGGAAATTATACAGAAAAAAGCAATCCACACATCCTCACATGGTGGAAAAAATACAGAGACACTTACAGAAAAACACTGATAGGTTGTAGGGATTGGCTGTAGGGTTTAACTGTAGTGATAGGCTGTAGAGGTTAACTGTACTGATAGGTTGTAGGGATTGACAGTAACACTGATAGGCTGTACGGATTGACAGTAGCACTGATAGGTTGTAGGGATTGACAGTAACACTGATAGGCTGTACGGATTGACAGTAGCACTGATAGGTTGTAGGGATTGACAGTAGCACTGATAGGTTGTAGGGATTGACAGTAGCACTGATAGGCTGTAGGGATTGACAGTAACACTGATAGGTTGTAGGGATTGACAGTAGCACTGATAGGCTGTAGGGATTGACAGCAAACACTGATAGACTGTAGGGATTGGCTGTAGATAGGCTGTACGGATTGAGTGTAACACTGCTAGACTGTAATATTGTAAATCGCTGCTGAATTAGTAGGCGCTATATGAATACCAATAATAATAATAGTAGGGAATGACTGTAGATTAGCTGTAGCAATGATTGGCTGTAAGGATTAACTGTAACATTGATTGGCTTTAATGATTGGATACCCTACTAACCTCAACATCTGAGGAAAGGGATTTAGGGGTGATTATTTCTGATGACTTAAAGGTAGGCAGACAATGTAATAGAGCAGCAGGAAATGCTAGCAGAATGCTTGGTTGTATAGGGAGAGGTATTAGCAGTAGAAAGAGGGAAGTGCTCATGCCATTGTACAGAACACTGGTGAGACCTCACTTGGAGTATTGTACACAGTACTGGAGACCGTATCTTCAGAAGGATATTGATACCTTAGAGAGGGTTCAGAGAAGGGCTACTAAACTGGTTCATGGATTGCGGGATAAAACTTACCAGGAAAGGTTAAAGGATCTTAACATGTATAGCTTGGAGGAAAGACGAGACAGGGGGGATATGATAGAAACATTTAAATATATAAAGGGAATCAACACAGTAAAGGAGGAGACTATATTTAAAAGAAGAAAAACTACCACAACAAGAGGGCATAGGGTGTGGAATATGAAGGAGAGCTTTGTATGAGGTGGGGATTGTGATGGAGGGAGAAAATGGAACTCAGATGAACAAAGTGGCCCATTAGAAAAATGAAAAGGAAAGATTTGGAACAAGGAACAGGCACTCTCAAAGCTTGTGATTTCTGCAGACAATTGGGCACTGAATTATGTTCACTGTCATTGTGTGCACTTTATTTCCGCAAAGGAAGGCTTGGCTCACACTATAGACCTTACAAAGAGAAACTACTCCCTATTTTTAGTGTTTTGCATCAGATATAGGACCTTGTTATCCTGCATTCCTTCTGCCTTTATAACTGTGTCACGAGAAAACTCTCAGTGCTTGTCCTATCCTTGCCCTCTTGTGAACCCATGAGGATAAGATTCGACTGCCACATATCTTTAATCTCTGAGATTGTGCCTCCCTGGATAGATAAGCAGTAATTCACAGCACTCTGGTTAGGTGGAAATTTTTGAACCTTCTTTGTCACCTTAGAACAGGGGTTCTCAACCCAGTCCTCAAGTACACCCTACCAGTCCAGGATTTAGCGATTACCCTGTTGTGTCTTAAGTTCCCCCCACCCCCCCAAAAAAAACAAAAAACTCACATTAGACACAGCAGGGTAATTCCTAAATCCTGGACTGGTAGGGGGTCCTTGAGGACTGGGTTGAGAACCCCTGCCTTACAAAGTTAATGTCCCTATGTTGCCTTTCTGTGGTGGTAAATGAAGGCCAAATATTTCCACCTTACCGAGTACTAATAATAAAGGATTATCTGGATTATAGCAAGGTTGGCTGTAGGTTATATGTGGCGCCAAGCTAACCATGCTATGCGATCTCTGATATGTTACAAATGTCAATTTGGATTGTGCCATTGAGTCCCCAGGTATTGGTGAAGACGGACTGTCATATTGTCTTATTTGTTAGGGCCGCTGTGTCTGGGTGAACACATCTGCAAAATCGGAAGAGCAGGAGGAGGAAGAGGAGGGAGAAGAGGAAGAAAAGGAAGATGAGGAGGAGACAATGCCTGAAGTGGGTCCTCCTCTGCTCACACCATTGTCTGAGGATGCAGGTACTAACAGATCTAGCTCATACCTGACCCTGTGTTTCCTGAACGCTGCAGCTAAATGTGTTGGTGATATGTAGCAAAGCTTCAGAACACAGGAACTGCCAGAGTGAAATGCAGACCCATTGTAAGCCAGGTGTCTACATTATTTAATGGGACATGTGACCTTTTTTCTAAAACCTCACTTGTGATGATTCATGTTCTCCACGTGCTCATAACATTCATCCTATTTTAATATTCTACATTTTCAGAGGTTTCTACTAAAATGCTCAGATTTTGTAATTTGTCATTTCTTTTTGTATTCTGTTTGTAGAAATTGGTCACACCGCTCCGTGGACGGTATCGATCTCCTCTCACCTCATTCCTCAATATGCTCTTGCAGTCCTCCGCTCCAATTTGTGGCCTGGAGCTTACACCATTGCCAGTGCCAAGTAAGATATTCGTAACATTCTCATTCCTTCACTTCATAATTTTTGCTTGAAAAAAACCCCACCCATTTTCAGTACATGTTATGCTGCTTGTTGAAGTACAGACCATTCAATTAACTAAGGAGACTTGCAGGTCCAAACCTGGATTATGGGGAACGATGCAGATGTAAGGCTCATACACATCTAAAGGCAGCGTAAAGAACCACCTTATCAGACTACTGAATAGTGGGTCATACATTTTCATTACAGGAATGAAATATGAAAAAATGGTGTTCTTATAAAAATGTGTCCAGTGTATTAGGGATTACTTATTGGATCTATTTTGGATTGGAGATGCCTCCCTTAGTGTAGTTTTCTTCATTATTAAATGATAATTGATCTCTCTGTAAATGGTGATGGCTGCCATGTTGCGAATTATAGTTCATGAAAAATTATTCAACAACCAATTGGTCTGACCTGTTTTATTGAGTACTTACTTATCTTGGTCCTATTTTCACATACATATACCATTTTAACCGTTGGTCTTCTTCTCCTACAGGAAGTTTGAAAATATCTACATTGGCTGGGGGACAAAATACAGTCCGGAGGGGTACAGCCCTCCTGCCCCACCCATACCCCAGGCAGAATATCCCAGCGGGCCAGAGATAAGTGAAACTGCAGACCCTACGGTGGAGGAGGAGCAAGCTCTGAAGGCAGCACAGGAGGAGGCTGCGGCCGCTGCTGAGGAAGTGGAGGAAGAAGAAGGGGAAGGTGAAGAGGAAGAAGAGGAGGAGGATGATTAAAATAAACATCACTGTGTTATAAAAAAAAATATTTTTAAATAAAGTTATTCTTGTTTCTCTAAGTGACTCTACTGGCTTTGACTGCCTTTTCATGTTCTCAGGGGTGTCTGTGTGGACAGGTTTATAACCGAGGAGAAAAATGAGGGGTTTATTTACTGAATGGTTGGGTTTTTTTTTTTTCAGATTGTTCCCTGAATTTTTCAGTTTGTTTGTTCACCTAAGGTCACTGTTTAATGCAGTTACAGTCAACAGGTAACTGTCTAGCTGTTCCAACTCTAACATTCAATGCTGTGTTATTACTTTCTGTCAGTAACTGTCTCTGAATATCACTGAGATTCTGGAACATGGATTCCAACCCTTTTTATTCAGCTTCAAGGCATATCTGCTTCACTAATAGATTCCTCCATCACAACTCAAAATGGCTTCCAACTGAGATGTTGCTAATAGGCTGATGAAATAATCATGTGAAGATAGAGTGTTACCCATTGGCTTGGGTACCAGCATGGTGATGGGGCGGGGAGGGTTGGACTTATTGAAAGTGGTTGTTATTTTAAAAAAAAATGTCCATTGTTGAACAGAATTGGATCATGGAAGAGTACATGGGGTTCAATAGGCAGTGAGGGTGCAGAGCCCCGTTCCAGTGTGAGAATCTAGCTTCTTTAAATTTTACCAGCCACCACAGATAATGAGCACAGCTGAGAATTAAAAAACAATTCAACTAAATCCTTATCCATACATCACCAGCGAAAAAATATCCATGTGGCTGTGTACCCAGTGCTATAGGAGCCTTTGAACAGGATCTGGTCAATAATAGTGAATACTTAGTATGAGACATGCCAGTATACAATGGGACTACCCCAACCAAAGGCTTGAGCTCCGGTCTCTCGCTATGGCTATGCCCTTACAGAACCTAACCAGCCTGCAAGATTCCCACATCTCACAAGTGTATCGCTGGCACAGGAAGGGCTCCAGTGTGGGTGCCAGGGCTAACAAACATTACATAATACAACACCATCAGTATTCTCTAGTGCAGCACACACGGCTCACAAATGAAATTTTAAAAAAAATAACACAGATTTATATAGATATTTATTTTACTCACAAATCTCCATTTCTTTTAAAATATATACAGTCATATATACAATATGCTCATATATACATACAGATCTCAAAAGGACTAAAACAAAAAACAAAATATATTACAATATATTATATCTATATATATCTATATATATTTATATATATATACATTTATATAGATATTTAGAACACCTATAAACATAGATATATCCACACATTATTTGACACCTATGTCTGTATAAATTACTCATTGTAAACTATTTAGTCACAAACACACACACACACACAAACGTATCGAAACGTGAATGCAAAGTGCTTGGGTTTTATATTTGTAAAGGTAACTGCCTCTCCATTAATATAATCCCCTCTGCTAATTCTAAGTTGTTTCATACTGAAATATTTTTATGGGAGAGAAATAGATTGCATTTGTTTCTCTCCAAATTACTGCCTCCCATCTCCTCCATACACTGCTTGCAAGCATCCTGTCTCCCTGCCTCTATCACGTGTCTGATCCAAGTTCCATACAGTAAGTCTGTTATACCGCACTTACACCAAGTCACATCTACCCCCCCGTCCAATACTTGTAGCAAGTACTCAGCCCCCCGATTTAGAACTGTCTGCCCACAATGCTTTTAGCACTCTTACTATCCCCCATTTATAATCTTCTTCCATCTCCCCACTTACAGCAATATCTCTACCTATACTACTCACTACAAGCTTCCAGCCAGAGTCACTCACATCAAACTGTCCCATTTGTGCCTATGTATATACTGTATGTAATATTTGAGATTTACGTCCACAATATGCCGGTCACCCCTATCCCTGCCATTGGCAATGCACCCAGAAGCTAAAACACCATCACAAATATATATATATTTATTCCACCTTGTCTAGATGAATTCACAGGAAATACTGTATAGGTGAACATTTAGATTGAACCAAAGGGAACACACGTGTTCTGCTGTAACTTTAATAGTAGTGGCTGATACAGTCATTATTATACATGTAGACTTCCATCTGCCTTGGAAGAAAGCTCTAACAAGATGGTGTCATGCAGGGAATCTACCATCATCTTATTAATTCTGCCCTGGAGGCAGTTGCTTCTGGCAACCACATTTCTTTGACTTGCCCAACTGAGTTGTCCAATGTAACATAGATATTTCTGTCTGGTTTGTCGTACCAAAATGGAACACGTCATAAATATACTGATTTCAAAGAGCCAACCCCATGACTGCTCACAGGTTAAGGAAGATGTTTTTAAGACGATGGCTTATGCCCATCCAGTGCTACTGCTAGTTGTGCACATGCCCAGAAAATTTCAGACAGTCTTAAGTGGCTTTGTCACTTCTTATTATGTTATAAAGATATAGTCTTTAGGAAATACTCATGATGACGGAGTTGGAATCTCACTGAAATTCCAACACAATCCAAAAGGTACTACTGTATGAAGTAGGAGTTTATGGTAAAATCCGAAAATGACAAAAGGCAGAGCTGGGCCGTCAACGTTCGTCCAATTCCAGTGGGATTCAGGCATCATATCGCTCATCGCAATACGTCATCTATAGAGGCTACCGCTGTCCAGCCTTCAAACACAAGTAAATGAATGCACCCCACACTATCCTTATCCACACCAAACATTAATTCCACACCATACACAACTGCATACATAGGCAGCGTTAACGTTGTAATAGCTTATAGAACATTGTGGGCACTCGTATAGGAATACAATTCTCTCTGATTAAAATGCCTGTCCACTTCTCTGACCAAGAAATTGATGTCATTTTCGTTATAGTTTGTGTTAGTGAATTCAGTGCAAATTGTAGACATCCTGAGGCTGGGCTGCGATATTAGTAATGGAGTTTGCATTTCGCAGGGTACTCAACGACCTCACATAGCCCCAGATACTAGATACGGTGCATGAAAAAAAAAGTGATTATAATTGTATGTGTATCAACCTGTTGCACTACAACTCTCATCAGCCTGTGGCTAGCTGGAGGTGACGAGAGTTTTTATTTTAAACAATAGAGCGTCAGGTTGCTGAAACTAGTTCTTCCTTTCTGTTCTCACCTCATTTTGAAGACACAGAAAGTAAACCTGTGCTGTGGACTGCACTCTTATTAAGCTGGAAAATATGTTGTATTAGTTACGGTAGTCAAGTAAAAGTGATTTTAAGTGACTTAGTTTTGTTAGGGTGCTATATACAGAACTGAAATCTAATCTCAACACTATATACGGACACAAATCACTCAGTGGAGTAGTATCTGCTATCACAATACACAGAGCACACTGAAATGCATCGTTGTTGTGTCCCCTACAACGAACATAGAGGTCGAGGCACACAGTGAGACCAGTTGATGGAACAGAGCAGGAGATAGCCCACCCAGGATGTGTGGGGCTTAGGAATCTGTAGGAGAGAAGAAAACATGTTTACATATGGAGGAAACTCTCCTAACACGACAAACGTGACCAACACGACAAACAGACAGTATGGACTTGGGAATCTGTAGGGTTACTATAAAAACATACAGGGGACCCAGGGAACCCATCCCTCCATTGACTGGGCTGTCTAATAGAGAAATGAGTTGGGGGATCTATACTTATTTCCCAAAGGATGTCTTATCAACATTCAGGGATCCAGAGGTGTCATTCAGAAATCTCACAATTTGTCATGGACCAACTAATTTTATTTCCCAAACATTGCTACCTAACTAGCAAAACATTAGGTCCTTGTTCTTAATTTCTATGCCAAGTAGAATAAACCCAGAAGGGAAGAGGTAGGTTGTGCCAAATCAAGAAGGTACATATGGATCCTGGGAGTTTATCTCTAAAGCAGGGCTGTCCAACCTGCGGCCCCCCAGATGTTGCTGAACTACAACTCCCATGATTCTTTCAATTAAAAAGATAGCCAGGGAATAATGGGAGTTGTAGTTCAGCAACATCTGGGGGGCCGCAGGTTGGACAGTCCTGCTCTAAAGCATAGCATCTGAATAGCGTTTAGGGGTCGAGGGAAAACTTTCCTGGTTGATTATGGGTGCCTTACAAACACACAGGGTCCCTGGGAGACTATCCCTCCCAACACATAGTGACACAGTTGGTGACATGCAGGTGACATACCCGTGAGAACAGCAGCATGTGACGGTGTACTGGTGTCACTAAAGGGTGACAATAGGAAGGTATACAGCTATCTAGCTGAGAGAGGAGACAGAAAAAGGTTTGGAGTCAGCCCTAAAGGTGTCAAACTCATTCTCCCTTCTGCAATTCCAAAAATATGTCTTAGGTGACCCCATCAACTCTCTCCCGATGTGCAACCATATCCCTCCCTTCTAGTCCCTCCATCTGGATCTTCAAAACCACTGTCAGCCTCAATCACACTTCAAAAATCTAGAAGCTCTAACACCCACTGGCTGCACTATGAGTCACCACCCCTTATCCCAGAATCTCTCTGGTACCGGGCAAGTTTACCTGTCTTCACCCCACCACCCAGGCCCATCACTAGACATATCTCACTTGTCTAGTCCTAGAGATAGGTTCATATTTCTGATTGCAGATTTCATGTCTTCGAGGTGAAAAATGAACGTCTGAAAGAAGGTGAACGAGAGATATGAGAGAGACAGAGTGTTAGCAAGAGGCAGAGAGTGTTAGTGAGAGAAAGAGATGGAGCAATATAATGAAGGATTGAGATATGGAGAAAAGAAGGTGACAGAGAGAAGCAATGAGAGACAGACAGTGGGAGAAGTGCTCCCGTCGCTGGTATAGCAGTGTCGCGGTGCTAGTGAGCTGGTGATGACAAGTCATTGGATGGTCTCACTCACCTCTCTCTTCTTCCACTATGCTAGGTCTCTCCCTCATTTGTCCCTCCATCATGCTAATCTTGCTTTGAAGCTCAGCGTTTAACTGGTCAGCTTCATACAGGCGCCTGCGGTGGTCGGGGGACAGACATACATAACTCACATTATACATGGCCACCTCAAGAAATGTGAATGGTGAGACAGACAGACAAAGAGTTGGACAGACAGGTAGATGAGTGGAATATAAAGTTTGCTAACTTTATCCGTGTAGATGACAAGACAGGCAGACAGAAGAACAGGAGAACAAACAAGTACATAACTCAGATGCAGATTTTGGGAAAGGAAGAAGGCAGTCATGGAGGTTGCTCACCGCGCCAAACTTTGATTGGCTGTTTTTAGGAAGTTGATCTCTGTATTAAGGGTCTCTCGAGTCTCTATTTCATTCTGGAGAGCATTTCGCAGGTCAGTGAGCAGCGTCGAATCGAGATTCTGGCCCTTTAGGCACATGACAATATAGATGTTAAAAGCAAGGGAATCTCTGTCTCTGAATGGAAATATGCTTAGGATTTAATATGAGGAATCAGCTCAGGACATGCCATTTAGAATATATAGAAACTATCAGATGTGGATCAGTGACCCTATTTCATCTAGTTGTCTAATTATTATTTAACAGTCACCATAAAGGTCGCCCTCATGTTATTATAGGATCTAGAATTTTAAGACGACTATTAAAAGTATAGTAAGAAAGCCAGGGGACTACCAAAAACGTGTCTGCATCTCCTTTTTAGTGTGTCCCCACTGAGGGCAAGCGGCACACTATATTATTATTTATTTATAAAATATTTTACCAGGAAGGATACATTTCTCACAGGATATATTTCTCTCGCTTTCAAGTATGTCCTGGGTTTAGGACATATCAGATATTTGCCTTCATCCTTGCGATTGAAAACCCTTGGATACTGCAAAGATTCTAATGTAGCATTCTAATTTTACATATATTTTGTAAGTTGAATTAAATCACTCAGCTAGATTTCCAGTCGAAGAATGAGCTGCTGAGCAAATTCTGAGCCCAAGCAGCTAAATGGATTGCCGTGCCAGAGAATGTATTTGGTGTGATGTGTGTCCCCTTTGGAACCCAAGCAACAGATTTGATAATTATTAAAGTGAATGAACATCTCCTCACCAGGCAGTCTCCATGGCTCATATTTTGGGTATCTTGTGTTGGCCTCTTTTTACACTCACACTCGTTCTTCCTGATTCCCCAAACATTCGCTCTATCATCGTCTCTAAAAAAAAAAACAATAATCAGAGTCTGCCATAAACGACCCATAATGGCATATTGTTAAGAGAATCAACATTGAGATTAGAAACAAGCTCCCTCTTCACATGGAATTCATGTTGGTCTTTGTTTAGTGGATCCCATTTTTTTTTAACTCTTTTAATTAAGTAAAACACCCGGGGTCACATTCACAAAATGTGATTAGGATACATATCACTTTTAACTTGACATGTAGACAGAGAATACATGTCCTTCAAACTTTGGATGCTTCTCTTACACAGCCAGTACCCTTACTCTAAAATCGTGCAAGTGATGCTATCTTAAACCAGACAAGAGTCCCAAACTCTCTGCCACTACTGTTCTTTAAATGGTGTGCATAATACCACATGCCTGAATGATTACTAATTTGTCATTCAACCGAATGTGAAAAGCTTTTGAATATGCAATAAAGTCACTTGTGACATCTCTTCACTTGAAAGAAAAACATAATTAAAAAGAACTGCTTGGGTAAGTGACTAGAAGCCACTACGATATATTTTTATTTTATTAATCTTGCAAATAAAAATGTTCAGATAAACTATATATCTCAGGCCAGCCGGTGTGACTCTCTAAATCATTCTGTGATCAGGAAGAATAAACAGATGATACAATGCACATCATCACAGGTAAACTGATCAAGGAGAATTTCTATTTAAAGAACGAAAGATGGAAGCGTGGATAAATAAGGCAGTAAAGGGGTTAACCCTAAATAGATTAAATACAATGAAAAAGAGAGAGGCACTCCCTACAAAGATGTTACTGATATATTAAAACATAGCTTTTAATAGAAAGTCTGTAAAAAATTACAACAAAAATATATGTGAAAAAAATATATATGTGAAAAAAGAAAAAAGAAAACTTAGATAAATATTGATTATATAAACCTCAAATTCCCACAGAAAGATTTTCTCTGTAGGAAAAAATGACTAAAATAAAAATGGACAGACAAGTGATTGTACTTGATAACACAATAAATCCAGATTAGTATGGAATGTATGTAACTGTGTAGCCATAATTGGACATTTAACAGAAAATACAAGCTGGATACAAATTAATGTTACAAAGTTTTGTAATATGTCAATTAGTGTATCTCAATCATTGTAGAATCTAAACCAGTCTGTCTAGTGAAAACGGACATATATCTTGATTGATTGGCTGAGCCTAAATAATAGTCTATCTACGATCGATTGGCTAAGTCTAAACCTTAGTCCGTCTACTATATGTATTTATTCAGGAGATATAAAATCTATAAAGAATCCTTGTCAATCCAACTAATTCGCTACCACATGCTAAAGTTTGTTCAAAAGGTATAAGGAAAAAATGGGGGGAGGTCTGTGAAAAAAATCCTTATCAGTCTGACTACTTGACTGCCGTATATTTTTGTCCGATACAATAATAGAGGATACAGAAAATACGATAATTAAATGTGGTTATATTATTAAATCAAAAGAGTCTCACTGTGCCTTCAAGGGCACCTGCCTCTAAACGGAAAATTATACTGGCAGTCTAACTGCAAGCAGCCAGCTAACAAATGCCCTAATAGATATCGATAAGAGCTGGAAAAGAATATATATATATATAAATCTTACGCCCGATGTATATTGTGCCTTCAAGGGCACCTATTGCTAAATAGATTAAGAGTCTGCGCTGGCTGGTTGCAATGCACAGGTCAAAACTGAATATAAACCTAAACACCTTAATACACGTGATAGAAAGAAGCGGCTAAGCTTCAACACCCGCATAGACGAAAAGAAGCAGCATAAACTCAACCTAATAATCTGGAGATCGAATCGATTCTAAAGCTATCAGTAAATCCCACCAAAAGTTATAAAGAGCTAAGGCTGAGATGACAGGAATCTCCAAAAACCCGACGCGCGTTTCGCCGGTAAGACGGCTTTTCAAGGGGAACTGAGAGGCTGTCGGCTGGGGTTTAAATAGGGCGCTCTGTTAACTGATTGGTAATTAGAAGAATGACATCATGCCATGGTAGCTGACTATGTATGGTGGTCAGCTGGGGACAAAAAGACTCTTTAATGTAATCAGAGAGTCTCTATTGTGATATGCCAAAACGAATATAAATTCAGTGTATTAACTTCTAATAAACATTTATGACAAACTATATAAAGAGATGTAGATAAAGGAGCGCTTGATTAATATAATGTAAATTCTTCTTTTAATAATAAAAATAAAATCTTAGATAATTAGAATTATTTTATTTATTTATTAAGAGGATGTCCATGTAGTGTTAGCATAAGGAAAGAATTTCCCTTATATAATGCTGACTCAAATGACTGAAGAGAAATTAACCTATCCAAATAGGTATGGTTTATGAAAGGTGTTATCATAAGGAGAAATAGATTAACCTTATGAAATACTGACTCAAAAGAATGAAAAGAATATAAAACTATCAAAATAGGTGTAGTCTATCAGTGTATAAAAGGTGTATAATTGAACTCCTCGTTAAGCCCTTGTGGAGTTAAAGTTCTAAATGAATATATCCATTTTGATTCTTTTTGCAGTAGTTGTTGATTGAAATTGCCCTTTCTGGGATTGGGCAATAATTTCTCTATTGCTTGAAACCTAAGGTTGTCGGTATTTCCCTGATGGAAATTCATAATATGCCTTGCCACAGGTGTAGGATTTATGGTGTTTTTTACAGAGTTGATATGTTGAAGAATTCTGCGGCGAAATGGTTGGTAGGTCTTTCCAGTGTACTGGATGCCACATTTACACGTAATCAAATATATCACACGCGAGTGCTATTACAATTTACCAGAGCATTGGTTTTAATGGTAATGTGAGATTGTGTAGATGTGGTGAATTGAGAAGGAGTAATGAACTGACAGGCCTTACAGTGGCCACAACTGTATGTTCCTTTCGTACTAGTAAGCCAGTTTGATTTTGGTGAAATGGGAGTCAGAAAACTGTGAATTAAAAGGTCTTTGAGGTTTTTTGATCTCCGAGCCATAATTGTGGAATGGTTTGGCAGTGACTTCTTCAATATAGGATTATGTAGAAGTGTAGGCCAGTGTGTTGAAAAGGTTTTTGTCATATTGCTCCAACCACTATCAAAAGGTGGCAATGCATCTGGGAGTTGATGCATTTGGTTTTGTGCACGTGGATTTTAAGCTTACCAGTCTATCTGTTTCACTGGCACGTTGGTATGCTCTTTTTAAGACTTTGTTCGGGTACCCCAAGGCTTTAAAGCGCATCTTGAGAGCCTGACATTCCTGATAATAAGCGGAGTCTTGAGAGCAGTTTCTCCTAGCTCTTAAATATTGGCCGTATGGAATTGAAGCTTTTAATCTATGAGGATGATGGCTCTTCCAATGGAGAAGGCTGTTAGTTGATGTAGATTTCCTGAAAAGTTCTGTTTGAACAGTTCCATCCTCCATTAGTAGAATTTTCAAATCTAGGAAGACCAATTCTTTCTCATCAATGACATGAGTTAATGCCAAATTTATTTGGTTGTTATTCAAAGTTTCCACAAAATTTTCAAATGCTTGCACTGGACCAGTCCATAATAGGAGTATGTCATCGATATATCTGTACCATTTCAAAATATATCTGTGGTACAGACTGTATTCTGGATCTTTCCACATTTTCTCTTCCCACCAGCCCAAAAACAGATTTGCATATGTGGGAGCACAAGTTGTGCCCATAGCAGTTCCGGTCTCCTGTAGGTAATATTTACCATTAAAGATGAGATAATTGTGAGTCAAAATAAACTCCAGAAGAGAGATGATAAATGCAATTTGTGTTTCTTCATATGTTGATGACTCAAGGAAGAACCGGCAAGCTTCCAAACCTGCTTTATGTGGGTTATTACTATACAAGGATACCACATCCAGACTTGCTAGTAGGGTGTATGGTGGCACCTGAAGTCCTTCAAGAATTAGTAAAGTAGATTTGGTATCTTGTATATAAGATGGTAAATTGATGACATACGGATGTAATAGTTTGTCAACGAATTTGCTGGCTCTTTCTGTTAGGCAATTATTACTAGAAATGATTGGTCTCCCAGGGGGTGCCTTCTTGTTTTTGTGTATTTTAGGTAGACAGTACAGAGTGGCTATTGTAGGATGTTTATGTGGTAATAGATATCTAAACTTGTCTGAGTTAATTATTTTTTGTTCCATTGCCTTCATAAGTAGATTTTCAAGTTCTTTAATGTACATCTCAGTGGGATCAGAAGGAAGGATACTATAATTGGATCGATCATTGAGATGTACCATGCACATATCGATGTACATGTCTCTATTCAATAACACAATATTACCACCCTTGTCTGCCGGTTTTATGATTACGTCATCCAATGTTTGCAATTCCTTAAGTGCTTTTCGTTCGTTGAAGGTTAGGTTGTGAACTGGTGAGTATTCCAACGTACTTTTTTCTAAGTCACTAGTAGTCATTTCGACAAAAAGGTCCACATGTGGTGTATCTTTTAAATTGGGGGTGAACCAACTTTGAGGTCTTAGTTTTGTTAGTGGTTTATTAATACTCTGTTCTTCTAACAAATCTGTAAGTATTTTGGAGAATTCAAAATCCTCCAAGGATAAGCCTAACTCATTGGCCGTAAGCAGATCTTTTTTAGAGTGCATTAAATTTAATGCTAGTTTTCTACCGAAAAGGTTTATGTCTTTTGACCAACTGAATTTATTATGACCTGGGGTTGGTACATATGACAGACCTTTATTTAGAAGAGAGATATGTCTTGGTTGAAGTGAAAAGTTTGAAAGGTTAATAATTTTGTTGGATGTTAGAATTTCTGACCCCGTCCTTGTCTCTTGTATGCCCAGCGATCCCTGTCCCTTAATCTCCCCCTTTGTTCGCGAGGGGGGTCCTGTCCTAAAAAAGTTTTAGAAATAGTAGTGTTATTTGTATCAGAGCTAATAGGGGCATCCAAAAAGGCAACCGACTTATCAGAGCTCTTTAGAATGCTCCTAGTTGGTGAATAGGTCGGGGCAGGATCGTTGTAGCGGGTATTGTTAATATTTTGCCTTGATCTTGATTTTGAGGAGCCTGTATCTGAGTCAGACCATTCAGTGTCTGCAGATGTAGAGCCTCTTTGAGAGCCAAAATTTTTACGGAATTTCCGTTTTTTACGAAAAATCTCACCTTCTTTAAAGTCTTTAAAGTCCCTTTGGAATTTTGTGTGTTTTTTGATTTTAATGTTGTTTTTAAAATGCTCAATGTTTTTCTGTAATTTAGTTTCCATAGGGGAAAAAAGACTATCAGTCTTGAACTTCTTTATTTGTATGATCTCATTCTGTAATTTTGTATTTGTTTCTTCTAGGTGTATAGTTTCAAGCTTAACTAGAAAAGTCATCAATTTGGCTGAACACTCTAATAGGATATTATTCCACTCATTTAATTGTTCGTCTGTTTGGATTTTGTCTGGTAGTAATATATCCGGACGGAGTCCTCTTGGAACCAATTTTTGCTCTATGTACTGGTTCAGGCTAGTTAGTTCCCAAAAACTCCTAATATGTTGCTGATACAGTTTTTGTATTTCAAAAAATGCATCATTGATATCAATATTATTAGAATTACTTTTGATTAATGGATTAATTGAAAAGACATTTTGAATGTCATCTGGGTTGCTAGTAAGGTCAGACAATTTGTCTAGAAGGTCAGTCATTTGAATCAGCGCGTTGATGTTAGCTTCCGTAAAGGGGGGTACTAAAACCCAATTATTAATTATTTAAAGAACGAAAGATGGAAGCGTGGATAAATAAGGCAGTAAAGGGGTTAACCCTAAATAGATTAAATACAATGAAAAAGAGAGAGGCACTGCCCTACAAAGATGTTACTGATATATTAAAACATAGCTTTTAATAGAAAGTCTGTAAAAAATTACAACAAAAATATATGTGAAAAAAATATATATGTGAAAAAAGAAAAAAGAAAACTTAGATAAATATTGATTATATAAACCTCAAATTCCCACAGAAAGATTTTCTCTGTAGGAAAAAATGACTAAAATAAAAATGGACAGACAAGTGATTGTACTTGATAACACAATAAATCCAGATTAGTATGGAATGTATGTAACTGTGTAGCCATAATTGGACATTTAACAGAAAATACCAGCTGGATACAAATTAATGTTACAAAGTTTTGTAATATGTCAATTAGTGTATCTCAATCATTGTAGAATCTAAACCAGTCTGTCTAGTGAAAACGGACATATATCTTGATTGATTGGCTGAGCCTAAATAATAGTCTATCTACGATCGATTGGCTAAGTCTAAACCTTAGTCCGTCTACTATATGTATTTATTCAGGAGATATAAAATCTATAAAGAATCCTTGTCAATCCAACTAATTCGCTACCACATGCTAAAGTTCTACATAATCCTATATTGAAGAAGTCACTGCCAAACCATTCCACAATTACGGCTCGGAGATCAAAAAACCTCAAAGACCTTTTAGTTCACAGTTTTCTAACTCCCATTTCACCAAAATCAAACTGGCTTACTAGTACGAAAGGAACATACAGATGTGGCCACTGTAAGGCCTGTCAGTTCATTACTCCTTCTCAATTCACCACATCTACACAATCTCACATTACCATTAAAACCAATGCTCTGGTAAATTGTAATACCACTCGCGTGATATATTTGATTACGTGTAAATGTGGAATCCAGTACACTGGAAAGACCTACCAACCATTTCGCCGCAGAATTCTTCAACATATCAACTCTGTAAAAAACACCATAAATCCTACACCTGTGGCAAGGCATATTATGAATTTCCATCAGGGAAATACCGACAACCTTAGGTTTCAAGCAATAGAGAAATTATTGCCCAATCCCAGAAAGGGCAATTTCAATCAACAACTACTGCAAAAAGAATCAAAATGGATATATTCATTTAGAACTTTAACTCCACAAGGGCTTAACGAGGAGTTCAATTATACACCTTTTATACACTGATAGACTACACCTATTTTGATAGTTTTATATTCTTTTCATTCTTTTGAGTCAGTATTTCATAAGGTTAATCTATTTCTCCTTATGATAACACCTTTCATAAACCATACCTATTTGGATAGGTTCATTTCTCTTCAGTCATTTGAGTCAGCATTATATAAGGGAAATTCTTTCCTTATGCTAACACTACATGGACATCCTCTTAATAAATAAATAAAATAATTCTAATTATCTAAGATTTTATTTTTATTATTAAAAGAAGAATTTACATTATATTAATCAAGCGCTCCTTTATCTACATCTCTTTATATAGTTTGTCATAAATGTTTATTAGAAGTTAATACACTGAATTTATATTCGTTTTGGCATATCACAATAGAGACTCTCTGATTACATTAAAGAGTCTTTTTGTCCCCAGCTGACCACCATACATAGTCAGCTACCATGGCATGACGTCATTCTTCTAATTACCAATCAGTTAACAGAGCGCGCTATTTAAACCCCAGCCGACAGCCTGTCAGTTCCCCTTGAAAAGCCGTCTTACCGGCGAAACGCGCGTCGGGTTTTTGGAGATTCCTGTCATCTCAGCCTTAGCTCTTTATAACTTTTGGTGGGATTTACTGATAGCTTTAGAATCGATTCGATCTCCAGATTATTAGGTTGAGTTTATGCTGCTTCTTCTCGTCTATGCGGGTGTTGAAGCTTAGCCGCTTCTTTCTATCACGTGTATTAAGGTGTTTAGGTTTATATTCAGTTTTGACCTGTGCATTGCAACCAGCCAGCGCAGACTCTTAATCTATTTAGCAATAGGTGCCCTTGAAGGCACAATATACATCGGGCGTAAGATTTATATATATATATATTCTTTTCCAGCTCTTATCGATATCTATTAGGGCATTTGTTAGCTGGCTGCTTGCAGTTAGACTGCCAGTATAATTTTCCGTTTAGAGGCAGGTGCCCTTGAAGGCACAGTGAGACTCTTTTGATTTAATAATATAACCACATTTAATTATCGTATTTTCTGTATCCTCTATTATTGTATCGGACAAAAATATACGGCAGTCAAGTAGTCAGACTGATAAGGATTTTTTTCACAGACCTCCCCCCATTTTTTCCTTATACCTTTTGAACAAACTTTAGCATGTGGTAGCGAATTAGTTGGATTGACAAGGATTCTTTATAGATTTTATATCTCCTGAATAAATACATATAGTAGACGGACTAAGGTTTAGACTTAGCCAATCGATCGTAGATAGACTATTATTTAGGCTCAGCCAATCAATCAAGATATATGTCCGTTTTCACTAGACAGACTGGTTTAGATTCTACAATGATTGAGATACACTAATTGACATATTACAAAACTTTGTAACATTAATTTGTATCCAGCTGGTATTTTCTGTTAAATGTCCAATTATGGCTACACAGTTACATACATTCCATACTAATCTGGATTTATTGTGTTATCAAGTACAATCACTTGTCTGTCCATTTTTATTTTAGTCATTTTTTCCTACAGAGAAAATCTTTCTGTGGGAATTTGAGGTTTATATAATCAATATTTATCTAAGTTTTCTTTTTTCTTTTTTCACATATATATTTTTTTCACATATATTTTTGTTGTAATTTTTTACAGACTTTCTATTAAAAGCTATGTTTTAATATATCAGTAACATCTTTGTAGGGCAGTGCCTCTCTCTTTTTCAAGGAGAATTTCTACAATGTAATAGACAAATGGTAACTCCAACATCACAGAATGTCTCTGATTAACCAGGAATGCTGCCAATTTGCTTGAGAAGGTACAAGGAGGAGGTACCTGTTTACATTCATGGTGGGAATTCCCATTAATTAAACCTCTTTGGGAGGATATATCTCAGAAGCAAGGGAGATGTATCCATGTACATCTAGACCTTGATCCCTGGATAGAACTCCGTAATCAAGACAATGAGTGACTAAATTTACAGACTATCTAGAATCTGTGCTGCGCTGATAAGTATGTGCTTAGCTAAAAGTTAGAAACTTTAAATTAAAGCTAAATCAGAAATGTGATATGTGCTAAAGATGCACTATACATGGCAGCAATTAATGAGACTTTAGATTTCCTGAAAAATCTGGACCCCCAAAACTAAAACTTTTTCGCCACCGACAGTAGATTTTATAGCGAACTTCTCCAAGCTGGTTAGAACCTAGATAGTCTGAAATTGTTTAGGAAATGCCGATATTTGTGTTCCTATGTCATAACATGGGATACAGTACTTTCATTGATACAAAATGTAAAAAAACCAAAACCATGAATGAAACTACTCTTCAAGCCAATAGTTATTGGTTCTACTCAAGAATGTACACATTGTAATAGACCCTTTACAGTCACATAGGGAGTGGAAATAAAGTAATGAATACAATGATGGGAGAGATTGAGATCCTTGTACTATAACTCATGCACGGAATAGAACTGGTGCATGTAATGTATCTGCCACAAAGATTTTTTTTCCAACCAATGTCAAAACACTTTGAATAACTTAATAGATATGAGCTCCACTGACCTGTAGGTGTAAGAGTAACCAACAAAAGGAAGGTTGACTCCAAGAGGTGAAGTATCTTCAACATCAGAGAGGGTCTCCTGTAATCAGAAAACCAAGACAGTTTCAGAATGTAATAAGCTATAATTTCAATCACAATCTTTGGAGAATGGGTATCCTTGGTGAAATGGCAAACAGAAGTGGACATTAGGGTACTTACTCCTCCACCACTAATCATCTCTGTCAGGTGGTCTTCCACCACATCGAAATTCGAAGTATCTGTGGCACCATCTGATTCAGGGATATAGGGCGGTGAACTGTCTCGAAGTCCCTCCCAGTCAAGCCCAGCAAAGAGAGGGTGATTTTGAAATTCTTGAAGTCCTCCCCTGCCCAGACGTGTGTCACGCTCACAGATGAGGGATGAGATGAAATTTAAAGCTTCTTGTGGTACCTCAGTGGCCGATGGGGGGAATGTAAAGTGCTCCTAAAAAGAGAGAGTGAATGGATCTCCACCCTTTTCTATATCACTGATGGAAAATATGTTTGAGTTTTATCTGTGATCAACAGATTTCTTCAGACTATCAGGTACCTGTTGTATGTATCACCCTTACTTTATAGTGAATAATCTTGCCATATGTTTCCACAACAGAATCTGCATAGAAAGGTGGGTGACCAAAGAACATCTCGAAGGTGCAAGCCCCAAGCGACCACCAGTCACATTCAACACCATAGGATAACGTATGGTCTTCAACAGCAAGAAGAATCTCTGGGGAAAGGTAGTCTGGGGTCCCCACAGCAACTGAGCAAGAGACCTTTAGGACAGGGAGAAGTCAAAAAACGAGTCTGGAGAAGAAAAAGTGGGGTAGAGACATATGTGGATAGAACATACCGTGCCATCCTCTCGCAGCTTCAGACAGGAACCAAAATCCCCCAGAAGAATGTGACCAGAAATATTTAGTAGCATGTTATCTGGTTTTATATCTCTGATGGCAGAGGGAAAAGAAGAGAAAATGGATATGCAACATAGCAGAATAACTAGAGAAACAGCATACTTAACACCAATAATCTCTGAATAATAACTCCTCCACCAGTTAAAGACCTTCTCACCTGTGTATATAACCCAGAGAATGAACAGAATTGACAGCCATGATCATCTCCGCTATGTAGAAGATTGCTATGTGGGGAGGAAGCCCATCTGGGAATTTACTGAGCAGGGAAAGAAGGTCACCTCCAATGTAGTAATCCATCAGGAGGTACTGAGGAGAGACAGAGAATGAGAGGGTGTAACAAGTCATTATAAATATCAGTACCACTGTATTAACCTATTGAAAAACAATAGACTATGGCTTTTTTTGCCTGTTTTACCCTACTGTAGGTTCTGTAGACTGTAGGTTCTCAATGACATTAGCTCCATGGATGGGACACCTATTAAATTAACTATTGTGACGAAACTGCATATTTGGGGTGTTCATTTATGAATTGCATTCAGGGGACCTTAGTACCGAACCCCTTTTCCCTTTCCTGGCTTATTTATTTTTAACGGGGAACCGAGTTCCACAAGGGCCCTGCTATATGGCCGCCATTCGGATACTGGCTCGCCACGTGTTAGAGAAAATGCGGCCATCTTGCCCCCAGAACACGGACATGGTCGGTGAGTGTCTGGTACTCTAGGCCGGACACTTGGCCGCACGATTCCCCAGGGACTCTTCTGCGTGCATCTTCTCCCTTTTCCCAGTTCGCCCAGAGACCGCTATTTGGTGTGGCTGCTCCTAGTACCCAAGTGGACCAACGCTACTACCGAGACTTAAAGCAAGTTCACCTTTTTTGGTCAATCTGGTGACTTTCGGACTGACTGACTGCGACCATCAAACTTATGGAACTATTGTGGGCATCCGGCTCGTGCGCGGTTGGTCGAACCTTTAACTCAGTGGCGTTTCCGCTGGGTACATGGGATCAGAGTGCTATTTTGCCAGATTGGGTTCTCTAAAACCCAGCTACCCGGTCATATAACATGTGTGGGAGTCCAGACATATTTATGCTGTATTATTGCCTATTTTCATGTTTACAGTATTTTTGCCGAATCATGGTGACTCAGATTTTATGTGAGCGTGTTGTGGGAGTTTCCATGGGCGTGTGTCATGTAACCTTGACCTGCATAAAAGCCAGCCATCTGGCCTGAATAAAGACATTCCTGTTGTACCCTTCATCTAGTTTCGACTGATGTTTGGGTATGCGATTGCTGTATTGCGATATTCCTCCTCTCTGCTCGCTAAGATTTCGGTAACGGTCAACTCAGCGCTCCAGGCAAACAGGGCTATAATCACAAAGTCCATAGCCGATTCGGGAGTGTCTGGAAGAACTGGTATTCGAGATACCAGAGTTCTTAACAACTATCATTCTTTAAAGGCAGTAGAGCAGATTGCTGCAACCTATGTTTTTATAGCATTGTGACCCAATCCAGTGTTTTCCTAAATCTTTGCGGTCTCGGTCTGGTGGATCCATCTTGCTGTTTTGATTATCCTACGAGTCGAATACTTGCTTACCCTATCCAGGTCTCCAACTGAAAGCAACGTGCCCAGTCCCCCCATCTCTACCATCTGCTCCAATCTGTTTTACAAAAGCCTCCTGCTGAATTATAAACAGACTTACAAGATAATTATCATCTTGAAAAGCATAGTGCAATTGGGTTATCCATCGTCTGTCTCCATTTACTAGAACATCTCTCTCCTGTCTATAGCAGGCAACCTGTACACAAAAACAGAAAAAGACAGATATAGTGCATACATTTGATTTTCATCACTTCATTTCCCGCCCCATACATCAGTTCCCCTCTCTTATCCCCATCTCACTTCTCACTACAGACATTATATCCAACACTACACCATTTACTATGTACCCCAGAAAGTCTATAACTCTTCCTAAAACACGCCCCCATAGTTTTGAGGTGAAAGTTGTTCTTTAACTTCTTCAAAAGCAATAGTGTTTAATTTATTCTGTATTAGATCTTCATTCAGACAAATTATGTCAACCTGAATAGATCTGTTATTAGCTATAAGTTTTTAGTTGTTAGCTATTAATTATTAGCTATATCTCCATCTCTGCCTGTGACCTCTGTATATCTATACATCGTCTCCATCTGACCATCACCGCTGCATCCATATCCGTGCCCCTATTCAATCTTTGTGCACTTCTTTTCAAGCCCCTACCCTGCCGTAAGTACATTTCATTCAATTGTCCATCAGACTATCACGGGGTCAACATCTTTATGGTTCGGTTCTGTCTGTTTGGATATTTTTTTTTTATCCTGTCCGAACACCTTTTTTCTTTGTGGTCAATCCTGGTCTACATATTATTTTTGCCTATGTACACCTCTTTCTGTACCCCGTCTCTCACATCTGATCTCTTCAGAAGGTCCCACTTGTTCATGATCTTCATCGCGTACACTTGTAAGTTGCTCTTCTTCCTAACCACTGCAACCTACAGATTACAGAGATAGAAAAGGGGACAAAAGATGGAAATGGAAGAAAAGGAGGAGGGAAACAAAAATGGGCAGAGTGGAAGAGTGTAATATAACCAGTAAAAACACAGGACACTAAGTACATTATCAGATCTCCCAACCCTCCTGATTTTAGCAGGACAGTCCCGATTGTTGGGTCCTGTCCCGCCATTCCCAACTTTGTTCCTTGGTGTTCTGCTTTTGGGGACACCAGGAAATTGTCCCCAACAAGCATAGTTTAAGCCCATCATTAGACATGCTTTTGATATGCTTCAGAGCATTAGCGCCCTGCAAAGGGCACTACAACAGTGTTTTCTGCATGGCCTACTGTCCCCTCCCACCAGCATCCCGCTTTAAAGTATGCCAAAGTTGTAAGGTGTGCATTATTTACCTTTGCAAAATTGCTCAGTACTTAACTTTTTCTCCAAACGCAATATGACCTATACAACTGTCAGAACGACAAGCTGGGGTTCTGAAAAAGTCCTTCATGAACTGAAACATCGATCTTGCCATTTACACAACTTTTCTTCTAAAACATGTTTTAACCTGCTGTGTGGGACCTGGTGGAGCACCTGGGCTAGTAATTTATATAAAGCTGTCGAGTGCAAGGCTCCCAAAAATATATATGACATACCAATACTATTTTTTAGCAATGTAGCTCGTGTATCGCAGTGAGTATTTGGATTCATTGCATCGTCTGTGGTCTTAAGAACGTAACCTTGCTAATATTATGTAATGACTTCAATCTATATATTATTTGTCTATAAAAATTTTTTGCTTACATTTATGAGTTCTATACTTACATTTCAAAGATTAATGTTATATTGTTTTAACTACTGTTATTTGATTAGAGCTATATTTTAGAGAGTTCACCCTGACATTTGCAACTTGTTTAACCATACAGTATGATTTCTATTTACGGAGCCAAAGTTGCCCCTATCGGTTAATTCTCAGGTTATCGTGGAGTGGATTACATAGTTACATAGCTGAAAAGAGACTTGCGTCCATCAAGTTCAGCCTTCCTCACATTTGTTTTTTGCTGTTGATCCAAAAGAAGGCAAAAAAACCCAGTTTGAAGCACAATTTTGCAACAAGCTAGGAAAAAAATTCCTTCTTGACCCCAGAATGGCAGTCAGATTTATCCTTGGATCAAGCAGTTATTACCCTACATTGAAAGATTATATCCTTGAATATTCTGTTCTTGCAAGTATGCATCTAGTAGCCGTTTGAACATCTGTATGGACTCTGATAAAACCACTTCCTCAGGCAGAGAATTCCACATCCTGATTGTTCTTACAGTAAAAAAACCTTTCCTTTGCCTTAGACGAAATCTCCTTTCTTCCAGTCTAAACTCATGGCCTCGTGTCCTATGTAAAGTCCGGTTTGTGAATAGATTTCCACACAATGGTTTGTATTGGCCACGAATATATTTGTATAATGTTATCATATCCCCTCTAAGGCGACGCTTTTCTAAACTAAATAGGTTTAAATTTGTTAACATAACTCATCATGCTTAACAAGTGTGTTTGTCATACTGGACAGTAGATGGCGCTGTGTACACAGTTTTACAGGACTGATCGACTGTTTTGTTATTCTGATCTAATCATTGTTTTGACTTATTATCATTTTTATGCCCTGCATTCATTAAAAGCATCAACAAGTTCTTCAGGCAAAGCATAACTACCAACGATAAAGTTAAGCAAATAGCAGTTCTCTAATTTCAGCTCAGTTTATATTACAGGGAACGTCTGGAGAAATGTAAAGAATTTATATAAAAATCTTAGAACACGGCTATTTTTAAATTTATTTTCTTAGGAAGTCTGTAATTTACAGCAGACTGGTGGCTGCCACTCGATGTTCCTTATCTGTGCATTTCCTGGCATTGACAGTGATACGAATTCCAGCTGTATTTTGATTGGATGAAATGCCAAACAACCATCCTTTATTCCAAATATATCTGAAAACGTCAAGGGTTTATTCACTGAACAGCGAATTGTAAAATGAATTGCGCAATTCAGTCTAAAATAATCAATCTGTGACTATACAACTATTTTAGTCTGAGCTTTTTAAGTAGGTTTTCAATTTAGATTTTAATGAATTCACCCGTGGGTTTCCTTCTATTACTCTCTTCAGACATTGTGAATAATGCAGCTCCTCTTTGTTTGGTAAAATGCATAATTAGCTATATAAAAATCATTTATATTGAACATTAAAACTTAGGACCGCATTGCTTATCAACAAAGTCCCTGGTCATCTGGAATGCTGGATTCAAAGGAGCATTACAAAAACGTAACACAAAATTATTAACTTAATTATATTTTCCAGAAAAGAAAACATAAATACTGAGGGGTTTATTTGTTAAATACAGAATTGTAGAGAATTAGAATCCAAATTGCAACATTTAGGCTACAGTGGCCTTTACATTTACATTTTTCCAAATGCAGTTTTGCCTGCATTTACAGATTTGTTGTTTCTAAAACTCTCTACAATCCAGTGTTTAATGGATGAACCTCTTAATTTCTCGCTCATGTTAGTTGCACAAGTAGTGCCACGTGAATACACAACTCATGTTTGAACCTAGTTTTAGTTAGTTAATTATTTACTGCTTAGGGAATGTGCCTTATGGTGAATTAAGGTAAACTAGGCCTGATAGGGCAGTAATATCAAACTAGGCCTCTGTTGTAGTAAAGTGACAACCAACCAGTCCTATTAACTTAGAGAAGGCTAACCTGTTAACCAGGCCAAGTCGGCAGTAATGTGCCAGGACAGCTAAACAGCTATAGATTAAATTCCCCACAATGCTCAACCAGATGGCTTTAGCATATCCAGAACGGTAGGTGTGGACTATATTTTCATACCTCCCAAGTATCCCTATTTCGGAGGGACAGTCTCTATTTTGGGCCCAAATCCCTCTATCCCTTTTTTCTATCCTAAGGTCCCTCTTTTATAGGAGCTCCATATTGTTGGTGTATCTGAATGTATAACAGAACTCCACAGCAATAATACACCCAGTAATGTGTCTTTAAACTACAATAAATGTGTTTAGAAATCAGTCTGTGTAAGTAAGATATATTGTTCTTCATCTAAATTACATTATAGTTGCATAAATTCTTATTAGTAAGTCACTCTCACAAAACATGTGGACAAGTGCCAACCCTGGATGTACATGGCAAGACAGGACTCGGGGGGCGTGGCCGGCGGGGGGAGGATCCCCGCACCCTACGTCCCTACGCGTCCCCTCCTCCAATACCCCACCTCATCACACCCAACCTCCCACACACATACTACACAACAACTATACCATACCACCAAATTACACATGGACAAACCGTATTACACATACACCCTCCCCAACACACATACAACACACAAACACATACCCGAACAGACATATGAACAATACCTCACAACCATGCTATGGTTGTCACACCTAACAAAGAATCCCACACAACAATACCGGGATGGCTACCCCACAAGAAACATCTACACACTCAGTAGAGAACCCACCCAATCTCACGACTCAGACGAATAGCAAAACAAGCACAAACAAACCAAACACGGGACTAGACCTTCACCCCCCTTAAACAACAACAAAACCTAGAAAACAACTAGACACCTAGGAGACTAACACACCACACAAAGCAAATGACCACAACCCCCAGAAAAAGATAACAAAGGAAAACAGCACACACCAAAGCAACAGACATGAACACACAACATAAGGAGAACGCTACACAAAAACATCTACCACCAAATCAATAACCCCACTGTGAAACGACACACCCTACCCGAACACGCTATAGTAAACCTTGAAAGACCCCCGAAACCTATATGAACACCGCCAAGACACTAACCATACCAACCCGATCAGAGACCCACACTCCCCACTAACTGATAGCATATACATCTCACAGACACACAACGAGAAACTACAACGAGCTAACAGACACAATAAAAAACATACCCCGTAATAGCATGGCAAACACCATACAGGTCACAACCAACCACACCCACAAACGCCAACGAAAATACACCAGCCATCACTACCACCACCTCCCACCCCTAGACATACACACCAAATCCTCAACTGGGGTTAAAAAAAAGCGACATAATGATGTCATGATTATCTCCGATGGGCTTGCGAATCCACCACATAGTATACAGAAAGAGTAACGGTTATATACACCCCAGGAGGTCTGCGAGCCCCGATGTTTGAAATGTTCAACGGTTCTATGTTAATACTATACCGAAACATTTAACAAAAAAGAAATAACAATCACACTTACTTAAAAATAAACCCCGTAACACTATGGTAGATAACCACACTGACCGAAACCAGGCACACCCACACAAATCGCTAGGAACGCATCAACCCCCCTTAAAACCGCTTCATACTCACGGATATTCACACCTTATCATTAACATAGGTCAATGGGACACGATTCAAAAATGACAGGATTGATTTGAACGGACCTGCGAGTCCAATGCATACTATATTTCTACCACTCTAAGAGGCCTGCGCGCCTCGCTGATCGAATTCTTCAACCGCTCTGTATTAATACTGTCATGAAAAACTTAACAACAACAAAACAAAAAAAACACAGATATACCTTTGTCCTGCTAATACGATGGAGACCTGCGTGTCCCATACTGCAAATCTTCTTGTTATATGTATTGATTGTAAGAAAAAAAACTTTTCAATAAAAACAGATTTATAAAAAAAAAAAAAAAATTCTTGTTAGTAAGTCACCTAAAATTTCTCAGAACAGCCCCACTAACACCCCTAAAATGAATGTGTTCCTCTTTGTCCATGTGAAGTGAGAGATATGCCTTTACCATGACATTCTGTTCACATTTAACTGTGAAATTGCACTGGTGGGACTTCTGTAAACGGTCACTAGGCTCTGCATAATTTGTGTCTCTGTGGAATATACATAAAACTGAATTAGAGCAGCAGCATTAACAGAAACGTTTATAATGGAGAAAACCTTGGATCCCGTGTCAGATCACAAATTTTTCTTCTATGATGCAAACGCATTCCTTCCATCTTGACTACCACCACTTCCTAGCGATTGGTCTGTTTGCAAACATCAGCTGCTGTCCTATACATCACATGTACATTAAGGGACTGGACATATTTCTCCTAATTCACAATAGTTTAGTTTAAAAGCCAGCCTGGATAGCAAACTGTAAGCCAAATATAGGAATATCGTGTAGTTAAAATGGCTCTGTCTCTTTGCAGATTCATTTTTTTCGTGCATTTCCCCTTCTTTTTATTTATTTTTCTTTTGAATATTCTTTTTTATTTTCTTCAATTAAGTTTTTTTAAGTTATGCATCAGACAAAGTAGGGACTGATCTTTCTCAGGTGAAGTGTGATCGACACAAGAGAATAAAATGGAGGTGCCCAGGTATTGAGACCAGGCGCAAGTAATACAAGTTAATAAATATAAATAAAAGACAAGTGACATTAAGGGAAGCATAACTATAAAGCTACAAGGGGCATAAAGACAGGTTAACTGCAGGGCTGATCCTGGGTGGGCGCAGACTGTAGATTGGCGTGGTGTTCTGCACTAGGCCCTGACCCCTACGTTAGTCCCCATCCACTCTGCCACTTGGCACTGCTCACAAGGGGTGGGACCTATGGAGAGGGTTGGGGTCTATTTGAGGGGGTGTGATTGGCACAGAACACCCCGCCTATCTACAGAGCTCCTGGGTGGTCTGCACCCACTCAGGATCGGCTCTGGTAAACGAAGAGGTGAAAAATTAAAGGGTCAATTTAAATTCATTTGAAAAGTCGGCTATTCCGGCATTTATATTTAATAATCTGTTTTTCAGTTAATCACATGTCACCTTGTATTTGGGGTGTATTAACTAAATAGCAAAATGCAAGTGAATTGAAATCTAAATTGCAGAATTAAGGCAAAAGAGGGCAAGTAGTGACTGTTGCCAAACTGGCAAAAAAAAAATTTAAATGGCTAATTTTGCAATTCGGTTTTTAATTCACTACAATTCTTTCATTAGTGAATAAACTGCTTTGAGATGTCCATTAAATAAATGTTTATTAGAAATTTTCCTACACCCTTGTGAGGGTGACCCGACTTCTCCTTATGCGATTTACTTATTTAGAAACTTTTTAGTAGGAAATATACTTTGACATTTCAGGAATGCTCTGGGATATTTAAACACAGTTACCGTGTAATCCATTTATAAAAAGCACATTACAATGATTAGCAGTGATTTAACCCCTTAAGGACGGAGCCAAATGTACACATTGTGAACAAAACAAAATGTAAACAAAACCTGGCATTTGCGCTACATGTCTGTCCAACCGTAATACACCTCTTTCATAGTAAATGCACCCACCCTTATTATATATCATTTTATTCAGGGGAAACAGGGCTTTCATTTAATATCTAATATTTAGCTATGAAACATAATTTAATATGAAAAAATGGGAGAAAATACGATTTTTTTGATTTTTTTAGTTCTAAATTGCATTTTAAAGGTCAGTGTCATAATACTGTTTGATTTTACTGCAATAAAATACACATATTTGTATTTAGTAAAGTCTCACGTGTAAGACAGTACCCCCTATGTACAGGTTTTATGGCGTTTTAGGAAGTTACAGGGTCAAATATAGCACGTTACATTTGAAATTGAAATTCTTCAGATTGGTTACGTTGCCTTTGAGACTGTATAGTAGCCCGGGAATGAAATTTACACCCATAATGGCATACCATTTGCAATAGTAGACAACCCAAGGTATTGCAAATGGGGTATGTCCAGTCTTTTTTAGTAGCCATTTGGTCACAAACACTGGCCAAAGTTAGCGTTAGTATTTGTTTGTGTGTGAAAAATGCAAAAAGCGCCAATTTTGGCCAGTGTTTGTGACTAAGTGGCTACTAAAAAAGACTGGACATACCCCGTTTGCAATACCTTGGGTTGTCTACTATTGCAAATGGTATGCCATCATAGGGGTAATTTTCATTCTTGGGCTACCATAGGGTCTCAAAGGCAACGTAACCAATCTGGCCAATTTTAATGTGAAAAAAATGAAACACAAACCTTATATTTGAAGCTGTAACTTTTGAAAACACCATAAAACCTGTACATGAGGGGTACTGTTGTACTCGGGAGACTTCGCTGAACACAAATATTTGTGTTTCAAAACAGTAAAAAGTATCACAGCAATAATATTGTCAGTGTAATGCTGTTTGTGCGTGAAAAATGCAAAAAACGTCACTTTTACTGGCGATATCATCATTGTAATACATTTTACTGTTTTGAAACACTAATATTTGTGTTCAGCGAAGTCTCCCGAGTAGAACAGTACCCCCCCATGTACAGGTTTTATGGTGTCTTGGAAAGTTATAGGGTTAAGTATAGTGCTAGCAAATTAAATTCCCTTTACTTTCGGCATGGTTTGTCAGGCAGGTCCCGCTAATTGTAATTAATTAAGATACCTAATTATGTAAAAATATTACATAAATATATATGTAGAATTAATATATGTATATATATATACATATGTGAATCTATATGTGTATATCTATATAATTTTTTAAAAATATTTTTATTTATATATAGGTATATATATAGTGATATATACGTATATATTTATGTATGTAGATATATATATATATTATTTCGTTCTACGTGTATTTTGATATAAATATATATATATTAATATCACAATACAGTTAGAACGAAATAACAAACATCTATATATTTTTAATTATTTATTTTTAATTATTTTTTTAATTTTATTTTTTTTACGTATTTA